GCAGTATGATCTCTGAAACGTTGGTTAACATCGACCAGACTACACAGCGCAACAACCCAGAAGACAGAAATCTTCATACTCATCGCCCTGATGACGGAGGCAGTATGACCTCTGAAACGTTGGTTAACATCGACCAGACTACAAAGCACAACAACCCAGAAGACAGAAATCTTCTTGTCGGTAGATGTTAATGTTTTTGAGAAACATACTGTCACCATCAGAATCACTAAATGTTTTGGACTTCGTCCATCATCTATATTTTTAAAAAACAATATTATGTTTCAGAAGCTGGATCACGTTAAAACCTGAGGATGGAAGCACATCCAGCTTCCAAAACGTAGTCTTCTTTTTTAAAAACACCGGATGGACGTAGTCCAAGAATTTAGTTATCCCGATTGTAACGCACCATCGTCATTACCCTTTAAAATATACTCTCTCCATCTTCAGGGTTGTAGTGGTGATGCTGGGAAGTGGAGATGTTTATATAGGCATGTTGGAGGAAGGGGAAACTGAGGGAGTGGGCCAGTCGGGAATGAAGAATGAACGCAGAAGTTATCAGGAGGCCAGGAGATGAATCTGTTGACATTAAAGTAGCTACTTTCACACAATTGAGCAGATGTTCTGCACTTTTAAAAATGTGATAATTGCATGTCATGCATTAAAAGGTGTTTTATGTTTTAAATTGACCATTTATGTAGCGAAGTATTGCATTGTCTTCCTCAGGTCCAAGAACTGGAGCAGCGGCTTCACCGGAGCATAACGAAATCACGCCCGTACTTTGAGGAGAAAGCATCGTGTCAGGGTCAACTTGCGACACAGAAGGAAAGGGTGGAAGCATTGCAGCATGCTGTAGCAAAGGTTAAGAGTGAATATGCAGAGTCACTCAAGGAGCTGGAGAGAATCTCAGAAGAAATCCATTACAAGCGTGGTAGTGGTCGTTTGCGGAAGGTCACCGATGATTTAATGCTGCCACATGGACCGAGGGAGCCCGGGGTGGGAGCAGAAATTAATGTTTGTGACATTTCTGAATTTGGCAGTGCTCTCGGTAGTCAGGGTGCCGTAACGGAAATGAACTTACAGTTAGGTAGAAGTGATGTAACAAATAAAATGCCAATACTGACTGACTATGAATTAGAATTGGATCGTTGTGATCTGCGATCTCTTGGAAGTCTCTCTGTAGGAACAAGTTCTGCCGTGAGTGAAAAGGATGATAGTGAAGTTGTGGATGATGATGAAGAGGTAAGAATCATACTTACTCAGTTCATAAATTCAATACTCTCATTATCCTTGTAAATAACAAGTTTTAAGTTGCAACTTTTCCTAATTGCATGTACCTTTTGAAGTTTTAAATTCTGAAAAATTATGTAGCCATTTGAGCCATCGCTGGTCACAGTGACCATGCGGTCTGCGGTGTGGGCCTCGTGCTCTTGGACACTGGGACCGTGGGTTCAAATCCCACTCAAGGCATGGATGTTTGTCAGTGTCTTTCTGTGTTGTGCTGTCGTGTGTACAGGTAGAGGCCTTCCGATGGGCTGACCACTCGCCCAAGGAGTCCTGACAAATGTCTCAATAGATCAAGAAACCTCTGAATGGAGACCCCCATGCTCCACATAGGAGCGAAAAGGATATAATGAATTTGAGCCATCCTTTAAACTTCTCTTTCCTTCCCTGCTTCCCTGAAAGAAAAGTGTGTCAAAAAGTGTTATTCTGTGCTGAAACTGAACAAAATAACTACATTGCTTATAGGGTCTAGAGCAGTGGTCCCCAACGCGGTGCCCGTGGGCGCCATGGCGCCCACCAAGGCTTTTTTTAGGTGTCCGCGTTGTTACAGAAAGAGGTTATACTGAATAATGAAGGCCGTTCAACCACAAACATTATAAAATCAAAGCGCAGATCTCGACTTACTGACGCCCATCTTGACGATTGTTTGCAAGCAGCAACATCATCCTACACTCCCAAATTTGAAAAACTGGCCGATGAAATGCAGTGCCAAACATCGCACTAACTTCCCACTTGAGTAATAATAATTGTACTTATAAAAGTACGTATTTTTGATTGCGTGGTTTCTTGTATCATCAAACGTCGTGTTGTTTTGTGTATTATTTGGTGTCCATATCTTATTTGTCCTGAGAAAAGAAAATTTGGCTTTGTTAATTGGTTGGTGCCCGCCACGATCTCATAAACTTTCAGATGTGCCGTAGGCACAAAAAGGTTGGGGACTACTGGTCCAGAGAATCTAATTACCTTATCCTATTACTAATAACCAGACAGAAGACTTCTTATTTTGACAGATTGGAAAGCAGGATATGATATTAAGCAATCAGGAAATATTTTAATCACTCATAGTAGGATTTGATCCGAGGCATGTTACTTGCAACTATTTTCCAGTTTTGTGCTTATCATGTGGTTTCAACAGTATGTAGGTCCACGTGCACTTCTGATACTGGGTGATACACATTACGGTGTTTTCTTTCGCTGAAATTGCAGGCATGCATTTCTTTAGAGGATGCAGATAGAAATGCTTCTAGAGCATACCTCATATGCCTTAATAAGCATGCCCCAAGTATTATTATCACAGCTGGCACCTCCTCTAACATGAGCTACCAGGTTTAATGTTTTGGAGACTAGGAGGTGTCATAAATAAGGATTTCCCTTCATTCTTCCTAGTTTATCATTTCCAGACATCCTGATATAATGTGATAACTTATGCAGTTGACTAAGTGTTGTTAAATGAACAAAGATAACTGACTTAACCAGCATGGATACAGATATTTGGATATTTGTGCAACCTTTAAAACAGCTTAAATTTAAATACTGTAAGTAATTTAAAAATACCGAAAAGGTTGTTCCATTATTTTTGAAACACTACTTGCTATATTTCAGGTTGTTGAGCTGCAAAAACGGAGGGTGCGGGAGTGGGCAATACGACCTGTTAATGGAGGAGAGGGGCAGAGCTGTGACACGCGGTGGGAGGAGGAACTGAGTGCTGCTGTAAACAAACTGGACAGAATATTACTGGAACATAAGTCAAACACGGTGTCAACTGCTGTTACTGCAGAGACAGAAGAGTCCCTGAAAGCACTTTCAGGTACAGAGTGAGACAAGGGCATAGGCACAGAAGAAACTTTTATTTGTTTCTTTACTATTAATGTAACAGTGTAATTCTAATATTATATTGTATGATTGTTTTTGCTGTTCTCTGTTAATGTATCGATGGGTACACAGAATCGGAAAATGGAAGCTTTGAAGTGTATCTACACAGTGCAAAGAAATATTGCACATGGTGTTAATAGACTTCATAGGAGTATCAGATAATTAGCTTTTAATTGCTTCAGTTGTTTGAAGTACCTGTTGTACATAGTGATTGATTAGTATACAAAGAATCTGGTATTAAGGAACCAAATCATCTGTCATGATTCAGTGGCAGAACTAATTTATCCACCTCACACTGAGTACATCTGATTTATTTGCATATTTGAAATACATAAGCTAGAGGACAGATGGTAAGAGAAAGCTTTTCTTTTTCAGGGTGAGCATTTGTGAATGTGGGAAAGAAAATATATTGTAATTGAAACTTTGAACAACGTACTGTTAACACTGCTTTCTTTTTATTTAAAAATAACTTAATTCATTAATTAGGTCGTGTGAGAGGAATAGGCTTTAAGTAGTGCAAGATATTTCAAACTTTTATGCTCTGCTGTATAATATTAACAGAATTAAGCACATGAAAATAACTGAGACAGCTTGCATCTTTTAAAAAAATCTATGATTATGAAACAGAGGAGATGTTATAAATTTAATTCTTACAATTTAAAATACCCTTTCACATATAAGTGTCCATTGCTGTGGACTGTTTTTGTGTGAATTTATCCTTTTTGTTCATCACACTTTATAACGATGTCATCATTCAGCTGAGGAACAGAATGAAATGTTTACTGCTCCTTTGAATTTTTTTAAGTATATATCCTCTTCTACGAGTGATTAGCCCATCACAAGGCCTCTACCTACACAGGACAGTACAACGCAGAAAGACGCGGACAAACATTTGTGCCTCGAGTGGGATTTGAACCCACGGTCCCAGTGCCCAAGCATATGAGATCTATGTCTCAGACCGCATGGACACTGCAACCGGCTCCTTTGAAATATACTATTTGCAAATTTCACTTTCTTTTCTAGGAGACAACTGCGTACTGCATTCTCAGTTTTCTCTTCCAGTTGCAGTAATGTCACTAAATCTTCTGTGCATAATTTTTCCTACTATAAATTTATGATTAAAGTCACTTTTAAAATCCACAAAAGCTGTAATTAATCACCATATTCCAATTTTTGTACAGGTTTATAAATATATTAAATTCTACTTACTGGAGACATAACTTTTCAACATAGTTTGCTATAATAGCAATTGTTATTTTTACCATATAAAATCATCAACTGTAATAGTAAATTTCCTTTATGAACCAAGATTAACAATTTCACTAAAATATTTCCCTTTTACAAACATCAGAAGGATTATGTTTGTGATGAACTTCTTTCTCTGTACCCACCAAAGCAAGGGTATGAAATCTCTTTCTGGAGCATCTGTAAGGAAGATGTTACTCCAAATGATATAGTGATAATAATTTGATGGTTGGCAAAAAGGACCTACAATTTGACATGAACTCTGAACCGTGGTGGGGGCTTCTAGTTGTTCTTATTCCAAAAGTTTTACCTTTGACAGCGGTTTGCTTAAAGATCTGCACACAGACATGACCAGGGATCAATCCCAGAAACTGAATGAAAGTCTTGGTTGTTACCCTGAGGTGACAAGGTCCCACATACAAGATAAATACACATCTTTGGTGATTATGTGACAGACTTCCAAGTGACATTAGGTGGTCTAGTAAATTTGTACTTGTAACAACTGGACAGTTCTTCAGTAGCTTGAAAGTAAATATGGTCTAACCATTAGAGCACCCCACTCACTTTTTGTCCACCAGTGATATTGGCAGTAAATTGAAATTTTTTGTGTTTGGGTGTATTTTAATGTAACTTCTTCACTCCATGACCAGTCAGGTGACTGTATTCAGGCTGAAGTACTTCTGCATACTGTATGTTATTGACTCAAGTGTGAAGAAAATACTTCAATTACGGAAGAATTTATTAGCGCTGTTAAACGAGTAAAACTTTCATGGATCTGTAAGTGTTCTACCAGAATTCTTAACTGTATGTTACTGATTAAGAGTATGAAGAAAACACTTTAATTATTGAAGAATTCATTAGTGCTGTTAAACAAGCAATAATTGCATGGATCTGTAAGTGTTCTACCGGAATTCTTAACTGTATGTTACTGACTCAAAGTATGAAGAAAACACTTCAGTTATGGAAGAATTCATTAGTGCTGTTAAACAAGCAAAAATTGCATGGATCTGTAAGTGTTCTACCGGAATTCTTAACTGTATACAGCGTATTCTTGGTAGTGTTTTCATTTTCAAATCAACTCCTCTTTAATAGCATGTTCATTTGCTGTGAGTGCCTGAATTTGGAGTGGCACCATTTATACTGGTGGCCCCAGGTAACAACCATGTGTCCTTCATGGCACACTACGTGGTTTCTTACCTTAGGTTTTAATTTTTAATGCAGAGGCCTTTTACAATTAAATGTTCAAGGTTGTCATTTGTGTAGCTATTAGAAATAGAATGGCAAGGAGCTGACTTGATTGCGATGCTTAATGGTACATTTGTCATGCCACAGTCATTGCAGATGATGGCTAGTGGGGGTGCTGGTTTACCGAAGGGTTCCCTTTGAAATTACATTTGGAATTTGTGTTCTGCAACTTTCATCGGTGCAGTATGAGGGTTGCAATGTAAAAAAATATATGTATGTGTGCGCGTGTATACATATACACATGCACACATGGCCCTACAACCCAGAAGACAGCCATATTCACACCCACCACCATAAAAACTTCAAATCCTATGTGACATGAGGTAACATGTGCAGAAGAGAAGTGTTGCTATTGGTGGTGGAAGCAGCTTACTTGGGACTGGGTGCAAGACCTGAATAAAAACTTTGAAGAGATTCAGTGTGCAGAGGTTGGAACTGTTGAGTTGGTGTGTTTGGAATGGAATATGAATCCCAGTATTTGAATTCTATGAAAGTGGACCTGGATCAGGCAGAAAACAGGGTAGAATATAAGCATTTAAAAATGTGGATTGCTGAAAGGATATTGGAGTTGGGAAAATGTTACATGCCTCATAACATTTAATAATTCTACTTACACTCTGAAATTTTGTTCATGACTGAGCTTTTAAAAATTATGGTACCAGAGAGAGTAAAAAGTATTTGTCCTCATCAATATCATCTGGTTTTTCTTTAATTATTTCTAATAAGGGTTCTTCATATGTTTTATGGACACCCTTTTTTGGTATCTTCATTTGTATTTGTAACGTCTCTGACTTGACTTCTTCTGTTTCATTGTCATTTACACTTGATGGAAAATTCCCGTGTGTTTCATTTCATTCTTGAGCTGTCAACATGAGGAACAGCAGATGATTAGAGTAAATATGTTTACCTTTCTCTGGCCCCTTGAACTGATGTCACCTCTTGTAACTTGATTTATTTTCAAAAATTATTACACATATGTCAGTGCTTGAAAGGAAAAAACTGTATGTTATAGGGTGGTATTTCTATCTGCTTGGAGTCGCATCTATTCATGGGATGTACAGATGTGTGTGAAGCAATATCGAAATACATAAAAATTACATTTATGTGAGGGAAAAGTGAAAATGAGTGTCTATGCATTGCAAATCAATTTTATGAGAACCAGTTTCCCAAACTCTTTAGGAGCAGTGGACAGTAAACATTGTGATTAGGATTAGCCTGATGATAGTAATCTCTATTTTTCAGTTACAAGATATTCTTTCCAACAGTCCTCATGCCTTTATTTGGCCAGATTACTGCTTTATTAGTCTAGATGTAATAGCTTACGGTGCATCTAATGACTCTAATATCTGCCGGTTATCGTGCATTTTATTTTATCATTTAATTTTATTAAAAACTTATAAAATCCTCTGAAAAAATATATCTTTTTTACAAATAAACCAACGTTAACACGAAAATGATTTACATGTTTCATTTCACCTATTGCCACTCTTTCTTTTGTGTCTAGTTGATTCCAGTTCAGTACTGCTGCTTCATAAACTTTAAACTTCTGTCTACAGTTTTTCTCGCTCTTCTCCAGTATCACGTTGTTGTACAGTGCTGACTTTTTCCCAACATCAGGTACCATTTTATCACTATTAGATCTTTGCTGTTAAGAACTATGAGCGATGTGTTTGCTTCAATGGTCAGACAAACAATGGCCACTGGGCTCTTTTTGAGTTCCATTCCCACTGCCAATGAAGCATATTGTATGCAGAAAATGCCTCAGTGAAACAACCATCTGTGTGGTTGCTTTCTGTGAAAATGTGATTCATCAAGATGATAAAAAAAAAATCTGCAGTCCAAACTTCTCATGTACATTTGTTGTTACTGTTGAATTCAGTCTGACAGAGGACTGACGAGGGTTAACAGTGGTAAAGTTGGTGAACTTACCAATTTAGAATTAGGTGATCGTAACAACAGTTGTAATTATGTGACATGCAAACTGAATTTGATCATGAAATTGGCTGTATTTTAGGTTGTACTGCTGTGTAGTCTTACTGGCCAGATGATGGAGTCAGCGAGGACCTCCGAGACAGTAAACGCAAACCAGACTATATGGTGCTACAACCCAAAAGACAGCCCTCTTCATACTCACCGATATGAGAACCTCAGATCCAAATCTGATCATGTTTACTGAAAATGTGAACATATAAAAGCTTCCCTCTTTATTGTCCAATAGAGGGCATGAAGACATGAATTCCGGGGTTAATATTTGTTATGTGTGATTGTGTGAAGATGTTCAAGGGGACCACTAGAAAAATGTTTAAAGTGTAAAAGATTTGACATGTGTAGAGTTTATTTATCTTCTTTTTTTCATATACAGATGCATCTTTTATGCCAGTAATAGTATCTGCTCATTTATATATCAGTAACTTACGAAATAAGGAGGCCAAGGCTCGACTTCAGACTGTCGTGCCATAGAAGAACTTACAAAATGGTATATTGCTATTACAATAAATATATGAAGACACTTCTTTTGAAACATGCACTGTGTATGAATTCATCCTTGAATACCATTAGTTTATTTAAAATGTTGCTTAATATTTGTTGAACTTGCATCTTATGTCAGTAGCTTACAAAATCTGCACGCTGGCCTTTACTTCTATGTTCAGTTAACAAAAAAACGTAATTTCACTCTCACAGTAAAATCCTGTCTTTTAAGTCCAATGCTTTCAGCACATACATTATCCTAGTGAACATTCTATTATTTTTATATGACCTGTTCTTCAGTGCCCGAGCATCTGCGGGTCCCAACTTTTCGTTGGCACTGATCTATAGACAGTTGATAGGACTCCTTGAACGAGTGATCGGCCTGTCACAAGGACAGCACAACACAGAAAGATGCGGACAAACACCCATGCCTTGAGTGGGATTCGAACCCACGATCCCTGTGACCAAGTGGTACAAGGCCCACGCCTCAGACCATGTGGCCACTGACAGCACAACATTCTATTAAGGGAACAAAAGCTTCGTCAGAGTAAGTACATTGAGGATCTAGTCCCTGGCACCTCCAAAGTGGTTGAGAAGGTCTGGTATGAACTATGAAAATTAATGGCTAAATGGGTTACAGTGAAGCCGTGTCAGGGACAGCAAGCTGATGGTGTATTTTGAATGTGCTTTAAAAACAATGGAACCTCAGAAGAACTTCAGCAGTTGAATTTAGAAGACCTAGCACCATTAAAGAAGATGATGAAAACAACTAGTTTCATTGAATTAACCAGGATGATATGAGGAAATACATCAGTGTAGTCAGTAAATTACCGACTGCTGCACTTTCACAAACCACGTGCGTTTGTTTTAATGCTAGATTGCACATCAGTTGTTTGTTTCAAGGCTCTACAACCGTGTTGTGGGTTTTCGCCGCCTCCTTTTTCGGGGGTTTCTTGGTCTTCGTCGTGAAGTAGTGAGCGACTGACCCACTGACAGATTGTACATCAGTAGAAATTTTATATTTGTGTAGCATATGTCTTAAGTTCCCACACTAGCTGTAATGACATTTCTGCTGTGGAATGAGACTTCAGGTTTAAAAAGTGAAATAAAATCATTATAATTACATACTCATTAAATATTTTTCATCAAAATACATGTCAGTAATTTCATTCTTGTGGGTATATTCCAAGTGTTAAATAATTTTATTTTATATTTTCAGGAAATAAATAATCAGGGAAATGGTTAAACTTGAAACAAACAACTGCTATATTCTGCATACAATTTGTATATATGCCACCTTGGATAGAGATGAGCAGTTAATGTACTCAGTGAACAGAAATCATCAGGAATGGTTATTTTCACATTCAACCACACAATCCAATACTGGTAAAGAATCAAACTGCAGAACAATGAACTTCAATATTAAAATATATTGGACACTGTAAATTACCAGTCATATTTGATACATACAATACTTCAAACATTGACTCTACACCTGTCTTAAAGAGTCTAATTACCATTTTCTGACAGATTTGTTATTACTTTATTATTTTGTATTAATGGTGAGTTCTAGGGTCAAATACAAGGTAATTATGCTAATTACTAGACCACTAGCAGTTAGCATACTAGCCTAGTATTCAAAAGGTCACAGGTCTCATCCTAAACATTGCCATCAAGTATATCAAACATCGGACAACACGCATTGTCCAATATAATATTTAAATTATTATCGACTTTTCTCACTGACTTATAGAATCACTGAACTTCAATCAATAATAATAATATATAACTGTAAGTCGCTGACTTATAGAATCACTGAACTTTAATCAATAATAATAATATATAACTGTAAGTACTGATAGTTTCTCTTCTACTGTCCACGCTACAGGCACATTCTACACACCATCTAGAAGATGTCTGTTCCAGTTTTCCTAGCTTGGACATAAGCTTCTTCAGGTGTGAGCTGTTCTTTTGGACTCGGTTCTAAAGGCTCTCCATTCTCACCAAGTTTTCCATTCTTGAAGTCATTAACAATTTTATCACTGTATACTGCATCAAACAGATCTTTGGGGGTGAATTCTGACTGCACCACTTCAGGTACTCGATATGACACATATGGCTTCAACTGTAACACAGAACAGTGAGTGCTCTTACTAAATGTTCACAGTAGACTCTCTTTAACTGGTTCTCTGGCTTACTGCCTTTATCCTGGTAAACCAGCAACTTTCGGTATAATGAAATAATAAAAAAAAGCTATACACCATGTGGGCGCTTGAGGGCAGAGGAGAGGAGGTACAGTTCCTACTCAATCTCAACCTCTGCACTAGATGAGGATGAGTGGTCAGCGTCACGCCCTTGCAATCTAGGAAAGGCACCAATGGATAGGAGGCTGGGAGGGCCCCAGAGTCGGTCTGGACGCACAGGCTAGAGGAAAGATTCTCTGCTCCCATCAGGGATTGAACCCTGGCCGTCCAGTCTGTAGTCAGTCACTATAATATTGTACACTCCTGTTTTATAAAAATAAGGCAGGAAAGAAAAAGAGTGTTTTTATTGTAATGTTTAGTGTTTTGTACTCTTTGCTGCATCTTTATTGTTTTTATTCATTGTTTTTCCAAGTGAAGTATATAACTAGAGGTTAACCATTTTTCTAATAATCACCTTAAGACTGGCCCTGTTTACGGTCGTTAAGATGTGTTCCACAGCATACCATGACAAAATATAACATATTAAATGAAACTACTGTCAAGCTAAGGTTTGGAAAGATTGGATGTAACATATTCTCACTCTCTTTCCAAGTAGTTGTGGATAACAACAAACACACATAATGAAAGAAATATTCAAGTTAAGCACTAGTGTGTATTCTGGCCATTAAGAAACTGATGTTCATCTATGATGTCAATTATTTGACACTGAAACACTGCATACAATTGCAAATAATGTCACAAGAAATCATACCAACACTATAGACAGCATGTGACACTATGTACAAAGTTAAGATTTCCACAACAAATGTTAAATTCATAATTTTGTAGATGTATGTACATAAGTACAGAAAGCCTAATGATTACTTACCATTTTCTTTTGCCATCATCACATGTAACTAGTAACAAAGATTATGAATGGTTAGACTACTGGATTGTTATTACTGTTCATCTGAAATTATAATGTAAGACTGCTGTTGCAGGAGATGCATAGGTGCTGATGAGAAATGATAGGGCATGGCATCAGGTGATGGAAGAGATGGGAAGCCACACGCATTCCCCCAAAATTTCCGGTTTTTGAAGCAATGCAATCAACATCCCTGGGTCAGAGTTCTTTTAAACATAATACAATTTGTTCTGAGGGCAAGTTTTTTAACGAGTGTAATGTGTAGTGGCAAAAACTGAAAAAAAACCCCTAAGAAATCTTCCTGCTGCGTGTACAAAGCAATAGGAATTACAGTTTGGAACCTAACCTCAGAAATAACTTGTACTTCTGCATTACCTTAAAGCCTGTTAAATCTGGTACAATCAATTCTGGAATCATCTCGGGTACTTCCACAAATGTCTCGCCTATTCCATATCCAACAGGTTTCACTCCCAGATCTGAAACACCCAACAATCTTTTGCCGCATTCCAAAACGACAGTAACACACACCTAGTCTGCAGTAAGGACTAGTAATACCCACCATGGAAAAGCTCTGGGTCTCGATCTTTTGTTGTTTGCTTTTCTCTAAATAGTTTCGTACCACGCTTGTTGTATATAAGGAACTTTCTGAAGTTCCTCTTACCACAACATGCCACCGATGTTGAAATACATCGACAGTGTTGTAATGTAATTCTTGACACCGCCATAAATCCAATGTTTACTATTTGTGGAGCAAGTGTTCACGACTTCAATGAGTTTGTAACATACGATATCCACAGATTATCGTAACAACGTTGCCTAACACGCATGCGCGGAACTGTACTCGTAGTCCAGACATCCATTATGAAGGTTGCGGCCAAACGTAGTATTCCGCAAACACGCGATCAGACCATGTGTTATATGAAAGTGAAATAGAATTTATAATGGGGAAGTCAAGACAGGGCTTCAATTGGAAGGCCAGGCAGATTGTGAGGACAGATATAGACAATTCATCAACTGCAAAGGTACATAAAACAGTATTCCGGAGGTACCTAACCTTAATTTTTGTAATGGTATAAATAATTTGTTTCATTAATGGTATTTTCCAGATTAAACTAGATTCCAGTTTTAGCGAACATGATAAGTATGATGAATGCAACGCGTTGGTTATACCTTCTCAAAAGAGAAGAACTAAGAAGAAAAACGATGCAGTTACTGTAACAAAGATTCTGTCCAAAAGTCAAAGAAAGCGTCTGCAAAAAATTGTTGATAGAAAGAAGAAGAAAGAAAATGTAAGTGCTAAGAATTTAATTGTGAACTGATAAGGTGATGGTACCCTTGTGATTAAGAACCGTGCAATTTATATGTAGAGGCACTGAGGTACATGCCATACACACTTTGTCCTTACATGATGTGGGGCGATGGCTGGAAGGATGTATGTGTACTGTAATGTAGTTGGGAATAAATAAACGGGAATAGTATTGTTATTTGTAAGTATGTTTTAGCTGTTCTTGTGTCTCTTTCCTATTTGCACATTATCAGGGTCTTAATTTCACAGTACACAACTTTTGCATTTAACTCAGTCAGCAAATAGCACACATACTCATCACGAAAATAAATTTTGGAACAACTTTACAATTCATGCAGGTAAATAAATATTCCAAACGTGTATAGTCATGTTCACACAAACCTGCCATTGGACCCTACTCTGCCAGTTATATCCAGTCTGTATCCTCATAACCTGTTTCTCCGATATCCAATTTAAAGTTATCTTCCCACCTGCTGCTAGGTCCCCCAGGTGGTTTCCTTTATTAGATCATCATAGGATTTACTAGCTCTTTTTGTATTATGATTTTGTCCTGCATTCTGGTGATGAGTTATGAACATACCTTGCTTGATTTATTTAATTTGCAGAGAGCTACGCTCTTGGAGGCTTTGTCAAAGGCTCAAATACAACCAGAGTATTTGAGTAAACTCACATCCATAGCATCAATTCAGACGAAGGGTTTGAAAAGATATTTTCTTGAGCAAGAGAAGGGTGATAAAAAAATAAAGCGAAAGCACAGAGATGATGAAAATGAAGAAGAAATGCAGAACATTAATAGTATTGCTGGCAGTCAGAAACGTAACCGCTTACTAATGTTGGGTATTGATGTAAACAGAACTTCAGAAGAAAATGATCCAAATGTTGTGGGATTTGAGGTAAGATGTTCATTTAAGCAGCCTTTGAACAGGCAAAGTTTTGTTTGGGAGCAATGGATAACTTGTTTTAACTGAGAAACATACCAGACTCTCATAGGGCCCTCATGTTCATTTGGAATTGGAATTTATTTACATTCCATTGATCCTTCATAGTACAAGCCAGTGATGTAGAATATGTCATAGTTTGAACATGAAAGCTTAGTACAGTAGAATACCAAGACAAAGTTATAACTACATTCTTATTACAGTGTTTTACATAAATATATACAGTATTTAATAATTTTCAATTTAAGTAAATTCTTGTACAGAGTATAAACAGTGAGATTATTGATTAATTTGGTCCCTGTGAACTGTATCACCCCTTCAGACAAGTCAAAAAGGGGAGGTTCTAGTTCTTAGTGTCATTACTTCCTTGGTAATCCTGTCTTGTCTTATGCAAGCCCATAAGTTTAAAACCACAATAATAAGGGTGCCTCAAGTTATATCTCAGCTTCCTACAAGAAATAAGAAAAATAGATTTACTCTCCTTTTTTTTTTAAAAAAAATACACTCTGCCTCAGTCTCTCCCCGAGAGATAGGGCAGCACACTCCCCAACTGAGACTTTTACTCAGCCAAGTAAGATACCAATAGCAAACACACACAAATAAACAATGGAATAGCAGCCTCTAAATCTTGGGGAAAACACGGCAGTACAGAAAGAGCAAATACCTTACCCAAGCATCTTCAAGGAATGTTGTAGGTGTAGTCGGCCCAGTAGTTTTTGGCCGGTGGAATTTTCAAGGGGGAGGCTAGGAGCGAGTCTCTTTTGCGATAGTATAATGCTGACTGCACCGAGGAGCTTATCGGACTGAACGCCCAAACAAAAGAAATACACTGACCGTGCCACCTCAAGTACACAGAGTAGGCCCATCCGCTAGCTTTTCCACCGACCAAAAACTACTGCGCCGACTATAACAGTGTTGTTTGTGTCTGGTGTAGATGATGATGAAAACATGTTGATATTCTCTCTTTTACCACCACACTTCTATTTTTATAGGTATCAAGTGATTCAAGTGGTGATGATGATGATGATGATGAAAGAGAACAGTTAGCGGGGGGAAGTACTGTTCATGAAGGTAGTGTTCAACAGAGTAGTACCCAGGAAGTTGAGAGTACTGAAGTGGATAAGTCTGTTGCTGAATTGTCATCTCAGACCTTACCTTGTCCCAAAAATCAGGAAGGAGACAATGTTAAACACATGGAAAAGTCTCAAAATGTTACAAGAAAGCCAGCAGTGTTTGTTCCAGTGGATAGGAGTTCAGAAATTCAGGACAGTCGACTCAAGCTTCCTATATTGGCCGAGGAGCAGGCCATCATGGAGGCAGTAAACGAAAACCCTGTTGTGATTTTGGCTGGAGAAACAGGCAGTGGGAAGACTACTCAAGTTCCCCAGTTTTTATATGAAGCAGGTTATGCAAGGTTTGTATTAATGAACTGTTCAAATTTTGAGTAGCAAACTGAGCTGATGCATGAATGACATAACATATTTTAATATAGTGGAATGCTGTGTTTTTTCTTTTCTGGGGATTGGGAAAAAAATATGTCAAAATTGTAAGGAAGTGTAAATGCAGAAATCATAATCTTAATGGTAAGCTCTGTTTATTGTAATGCTTAGCAAATGTACAGTGTGTCCATGAAGTCCCTTCAGGGCGCGCAAACAAATTGAGCTAGCCACATGCGGTTTGCGGCAACCCTGGAAGTTTTTTACTGACCTCAGTAGACCTCGATGTGGGCTCCCTTCGTAGCACGGAGAACGTCCAGACGATATTCGAGCTCTTGCCATGTTCTGTGGAGCATGTCCGCTGGAATAGCCGAGATCACATTCCTGATGCGGGTCTTCAGGTCATCAAGTCCGTTAACTGGTGTTCAGAACACATTGCTCATGACATAACCCCACAGGAAAAAATCCAGTAGTGTTATGTCTGGTGAACGTGGAGGCCAAGTCATTGCTTCACTAAATGAGTGTAGTGACCTTGAATTTTGTGAATATTGTACCATTTCACTGGTGCGGCCTCTAGCGGGACTGATTGCTGATGAGTAGATAGGTATAAGTAACAGCTTCAATGTGCACGTTAAATGAACGGTCATTATTTAAAAATGAGTTGTTTCTGTTATTTGTTTTCAGGGATAGTAAAATAATAGGTGTAACAGAACCAAGACGAGTAGCTGCCATCTCCATGTCAAAACGTGTTGCAGAGGAGATGAATTTATCAAGCAGTGAGGTTTCTTACCTTATCAGGTTTGAGGGCAATGCTACTGACAGAACATGTATAAAGTTTATGACAGATGGTGTACTACTTAAAGAAATTCAGATTGTAAGTTAATGATTGCAACATAAAATTATTCTGAACATTGTCACTCAGCTTCATATTTGAGGGTATCCAGTGTTTGGTTAAAGCTGCAATGGGGTTTTATTCATTCTTTGCTCAAAGTATTTGAAAGAAATGTATTATGGGATATATAATAGTATACGAGGGCGTTTTAAAAAGTAACAGCAAATTAAATATTTTGAGATATATAATTTAATTAGAGATACAAATGATATGTCATTTTTCTACATAATCACCTTCGTTTTCAATACACTTCTCAACCCGTTGCACCAACCTCTTTATTCCATCAGAAAAAAATGTTTTTGGTTGTGCCTTCAGCCAGGAATGCACCGCTTCTTCGACCTCGTCATCATTCCCAAATCTTCGTCCTCTCAAAGCGTCCTTCAGGGGTCCAAACACATGATAATCAGAGGGAGCAAGGTCAGAGCTGTATGGGGGATGCTGTAAGATCTGAAATCTCAATCTCCGAACGGTGTCAAGAGTTGCAGCAGCCATATGAGGGCGTGCGTTATCATGGACGACCAGAGCATCGGTCATCACAGATTGATGTTCGCCCATTTTTAAACGCATCTACCCACTCGTACACTCTTCTCTCACCAATGCAGGCATCTCCATACTGTTGCAGCATTCTTCTATTAATTTCATGAGGTTTCACATCCTCTGACCACAAAATTCTGATGATTGCTCGCTGCAAACAGCTAAGGGTGCCACCATTTTGTATATGGATCCCTTCCAATTAAGCACGCCACGCCATATATTGGGCAGTGTCTAAACCTTTTCTAAGAATGTATCTTCCCTGTGCGGGAGTTTGAAATGCCTGGGGTATTCGTTTCATGAAATATTGTCAATTTGCTGTTACTTTTTAAAACGCCCTCGTAGTAACTAATTTTCTAAAATAGAACTCTGCACATGAAGCTATATATGCTGCAGAAAAACTCTTTGTCAAAAGGTTGTTGATGTATTTGAGTGCAGAATTTTAGAATTTTAATGGAATTTTACTGAATTATGCATGTCATTTCTAAATATGCCTTTTACTTTTACAGGACTTTTTGCTGTCTAAATACTCGATCATCATCCTAGATGAAGCTCATGAGAGGAGCGTGTATACAGACATTTTGATTGGTCTCTTGTCTCGCATTGTGCCTCTGAGAAATAAACGAAGTAACCCTCTGAAACTTGTCATCATGTCTGCTACTCTGAGACTGGAAGACTTCACTGAGAACCCACGTCTCTTTAAGACCACACCACCTGTTATCAGGGTGGAGTCTCGCCAGTTTCCTGTCACAGTCCATTTTAATAAGCGAACAGCAGCTGATTATGTAGCAGAGGCTTTCACTAAAGCCTGCAAAATTCACACTCAGCTGCCTGAAGGTGGAATTTTAATATTTCTTACAGGTGAGCAATATGTCTTGGAATTACTAACCAGCAAACATTCTGGAGCAGAGTCCTTTTTGAGATGCTTATAATCATCTGGTCAAAAAATTCTCTCCCTTTTAAAGAACTGATGATATGATCCTAATAATATTTAGTGGGGTACGAAGAACATTTTCAAGTTGTGTTGTTCCCGTAGGATGAGAAGCCCATGTTCAATAAGAGGTAAAATTGCGATTTTGTATATTCCGATGTTAAAGTTTTTTTATAAGAGATGGGAAGATAAAAGATTTTGATGTGAATGGTAGCAATAATTTTCAATATTTAATCTACTCTTGCCTGGTTTCTGAATTTAATTTTGACTTGTTACCCACAGTTTCAAATGTTTTAACTTTGTCATATTTTCAAAGGATTTATTAACTGTTCTAATGCATGGCAAATGTTCTGCAAACTATTTTCACCACTGACGTACTCTAATTTGTTAGACAAAATTTGATGACAAAATTTTACCTCACAGAAAGGGAGTAAGAAACCATACATCACCATAAATATGTATCTGTGTATAAATCCTTTGCAGTAAGTGTATGTATGTGTGTGTGCACTCTTGGGTGTGCGGGTGTACATGCGCGTGCGCGTGTGTAACAAATTCTACTTACGAAATGTAAGATATTATATATCCAACTTTAATATCAATTTTTTTACTACCGTAAGTACATAATACCTTTAATTGTTCTTTGAGTTAAAGTTTTTGCTTATGTATATTTAAAATGTGTGGTCTCAGTTACCTTGGGGTTAAATTTTTTTCATAAGTTTTCTTCCTCATTTCACTATTCAGAATTATAACATCTACTCCCTTTGCAGAGGAATCCTAAGTGGAAATAACATTGTAAGTAGCTTACACTGTTCTGAAATTGCATCATCTGATTTCTTTCAATAGGACAGCAAGAAGTCAATGCCTTGGTGAGGAAACTTCGAAGAGCTTTTTCATTTAAAGACAGGAAGAATAAAAATAGAAAGAATAAGAGAGATATTTCAAGAAATGATACTGAAAATATGGAGTCAGAAACAGAAGATAAAGTTGAAACTGGTGAAGATGAAATGGAATTGGACATGCAAAAGGCAATTCAGAATGCTCGCAAGGCAAAGAGGAAACATAAGGGAGATGTGACATTACCTTATATAAATCTCGACAACTATTCTGTCATCCCAGGGGATGACACAGAAGTGGATCTCCTGGAAGAAGATGATCTGGGGGATATCGAGTCAGATGAAGATGAGGATGGACTGAATTTGAGAGGCTTAGCAGCGTGTCAGCCGATGTGGGTGTTGCCTCTGTACTCCCTACTTCCAACTAATAAACAAGCTCTGGTGAGTATTTATACTGCTTTATACTCCACACTTCAGTTCCCTATACAGGTAGCCCTCGATTTGCGCCGATTCAGAATAACGCCGTTTTTGAAACCAGCAAGTCAAAAAGTGAAAAAATATATTTTATTATTATTTATAACATTAAACAATGTATCTCGTACTGATTCTTATAATAAATCGTAATTCTTAAATTGCTGTTTTTGAATAAAAATTATAAATACAGTCATCTCTGCAATTACGTATATTTTGTTTACGCGAATTTGCTCCAATGAGATCGATGAATCGGTTAAAGCTGTTTGTGAAACGCAAACTTTTGCATATGCGAGTTTGCTCTCATGCAATTTCATTCCTGGCATTTTAAACTTTCAAAGGACTAATTTAATCTCTGTGGAGGTACCGGGGTTATTTTTACTATGCGATTTTGTATAGGTCGGCGTCTTACATGAATGAAACTATTGCATAACAGCAGAGATGACTTACGTTATTTCAGAGCTTTAAATGTAACGCCATTATATTACTCGTCAATGTTTGGGTGCTGGGAACGCATGTCATTGACTTCCCATTGATTTACATTATGAAAGAGTTTCACTTTACGCCGGTTTGTCCAGGAACGCATCCCTGGCGTAAATCATGGGCTACCTGTATATTACTAGGATCTTTGCCCTTGCTTTCTTCACTTTGCTTCACTTGCCAACCGAGTCACTGAGTCACGAATAACATATACCGCCATTAATATTATCTTGCTTCACGTTAAATGAAGCAGACGCATTGTGATATTTTGGTGATACTTTTTAGAAAATGTGTACAAACGTTTCTTAAAAGTCCTAGAATGTGGTTACAGAGGCGTTGATTTTATCTTTCATTTTCTGATAGAAATTACGTAGGTGTACATTTTTGTTATATTTTTGACAGAATCATTTACATGCGGAATTATGTGTCCCTATTTCCACTCTTGTTGGCAACACTACCTACAGGCTGAAATTTTGTATTACCATTATTTCATCTAACATTATAACCTTTTTTTCATGTCACATGTTTATAAGTCGTAGATTTCGTATGTTAACAGAGTTTTTATTGTCATTTTTCACTCTCTGTCTGGGGTAATTTTCCTCTATATATGGTTTTGAACTTTCTCCTTCATTAGGTGTTTGAACCTCCTCCTGAAGGTAGCAGACTGTGTGTTGTGGCAACAAATGTAGCAGAGACCTCTCTCACCATCCCCAATGTGAAATACGTGGTGGACTGCGGGAGAGTCAAGACGCGAATGTATGATAAAATGACGGGGGTATCTGCATTTACTGTTACTTGGTGCAGCAAGGCAGCAGCCAATCAGAGGGCTGGGAGAGCAGGACGAATGGGACCAGGACACTGTTACAGGTAAAGTTCATAAGCATGCTAGCGGAAGGCATTGTATCTGAATTGCATTCAGCTGTAGGTAAGTTTCAGAGTTGATTACTCCTTTTGAAGTTTGTATTTTTCAATTTTACTGAACATTTTAATGTATTAGTTAGATTTTCAGCTTCATATTTTTAGGTCCAGGATTCAAATTGGCTATCCTCGCTGAGATTATTAATGGTATTGATATATGTATATATAGGTAAATGATATGAAGGTATTTTAAAATTATGTCATGTACAAAGGAAGTCTATAAATCATAAAAAAAATGATCAATATGAGCTGAATTTTAAAAATATTTACTACTTTAAAAGGACTTTCTATGGCACACAAACTAAAAATTTGGATCTCCAGTCTTTCTTACATAAAAGTTTTGCTGTATCTACTTAATTTCTTTTTTGTCACAGAATTGCATTTTTAAACAATGTTTTTTTTTAAAAAAATATGGCAGTCATTTGAGGTTATGTCTTACAATTTTAACATATTTTAATGGTCCTTTTTATTTTGAGAAATAGATGCCAGTACTGCTTGCTGGTATATACCACTACAAAGGGAGCTGATGTTACTTTATTTACCATTACATTTTGTTTAAATATTACCGATTTTTTGATATGCTGACATGGTTTATATCTCACAATATGTGTAATTTTTTGTTTTTAATTTTTGTTACGACTGGAATTTTCTCCATAGGCTGTACTCATCTGCTATGTTCAATGACCAGTTTGAAGAGTTTGCTGCTCCAGAAATACAGCGCAAACCAGTGGATGACTTATTATTGCAGATGAAAGCAATGAATATTGACAAAGTCGTCAATTTCCCTTTTCCATCGGCCCCAGATCTTTTGCAGATCAAGTGTGCAGAGAGGAGATTGGTTCTTCTTGGGGCTTTGAAGGAGCCAAAGAGTAAAGGTCGGTAGTTTACGAATGGTTATGAAGTGTGAGTATCCTGCTTTTTGGGATTCATGTTTGTGGCTCCATAACAAAATTTTACCGTGCAGGAATTTTACATGGTAACATCTTCACTCACAGTAGGTGATGTTAGAAAAAGAGGGTGGGAATGAGGGCGAAGAAGGAGAAAGTGTGCGTGTCAGTCACAGTATGACGTTGCAGTAATTTGATACTTTACTGGGCTACATGGGTCAGCCAGGTTTCAAATACAGTGACATTACAGCAGCCAGGAAAGTTGTGAGGAGTTTAAACAGTCCACAGATACAAATGACCATTACAAACTGTTTCTCCAAGTAAATGTCAGTTGTGTAAATAATGTAAAGTAACTTGTGACGTCTTGTGAATGCTCCATACAAAACTTCTGTATTCTCCGTGTTTTTCTATTATTCGAACATCTTTTCCCCTTCATTATCCTGGATTATCAGAATTTTGCTTTACACACGTCTGTGTGTGTATACTTAACTTCCTTACCCTGTGACCAGCCTGATGACCGTGTTAAACGGAAGTATTTTTATGTACTCTGTGTTAGTCACTAAATGGAAAAGTTTACTACCCTGTTAAACACCAAAAATGGGGTGAATCTGTAATTGTTCCGTCAGAATTCTTGGAAATTTACCTTTTACTGTACACAGCCTATTCTCAGTATGTGTGCGCATTTGTGGGCATGGCTCAAAATGAGTGAGGGATATACATTTACAAGTAATGTATTTGGCTGATACATATATTGGGAAGTGCCCAAGGTGTACAAACTTCATTCATGAGTCTTCTGTTCAGAATTCAATTTCTCAGAGAAATCGTGATGGTTAAGTTCCTGTACCATTTATAATTAAGCTGAAATATAGTACATTTGACATGTCTAATAGTATAAAACAATACTTTTTTAATAGTGGAACTAAAACTTATAAAAGAACAAAAACTGAACTTCGTATTTTATTGGAAAATCAGAATTCATTAGGGGAGGATGAAGAGTAGAATTTCAAGTGTCACTTTATAAGAGTGAAGTGAATCACGGTGTTACAGAACATCCTGCAGAGTGTACACGCTACACTACACTACACTGTTACAAGCAGTTGCTGAGAGAAATGCCTGGTTGTATGTGACTCAAATAGTTTTATGAATGCTCAGACCTCAGGGCGTCTTTTACTCCTGCCTAGGCGTATCTTTTTACTGTTGTAACTTCGCTTGCAGAAGACTGGACTTCCAGAGTAACTCCGCTGGGCTATGCCATATCAGCGTTCCCCGTGGCACCACGATTTGGGAAAATGTTGGCCCTGAGCCACCAGCATGGCTTGCTTCCTTATACATTGTGTATGGTTGCTGCCCTCTCTGTTCAAGAAGTACTGTTAGAGGTTCCTATGCATGGGGGCCAAGAAGAAACAGAAAATCCAAAACAAACACGAGCTCATTGGATTCAGACCAGAAGAAAGTGGGCTGGAGTTGGGAATTCATTGTTTTTAGGTGATTATAATTATATATTTACATTCTTATCTAAAAATCCACTCCATTATATTAACTTCTGTTTGTAGTTCATCATGTATTAGAAATTTAATTAATGTGTTAACACTTTCATTGTATGTATGTCAAAATCTGGACATCACTTCAAAAGTAGATCCCTGTACATATAAATACATATACTAACTTCTCATTTTATAAACTTTTGCGTTAAGATGCATTTGAAGAATAGTAATCTTGCTATTTGTTTGTGTGTAATTAAATGTTGCTGCAATGAAAACGCTGAATGCTGTGTTTGTGTTTCCAGCCCTGCTCACCATTCTACCCACCCATTGTCTCTAACTTTTCCAGTTATTGTCATTGTTCTGTGCTGTTTGTTACATACTATATTTAGAACATTTGACACTAACTTTTCATATTTTTTAGTCAGTAAAATAAAGTTGACAGTCCAAATTAGCATATATGTGACATTAATTATGTGGATGAAATGGGAGAATGTTTCTGCTGAAGACGTTTGTGAAAGATTTCTGATTTGTATTCATGTGATGAATTATTGGTAAATGACCCCATATACTATGAATCAGATAGCTCAGTTACTATAGTGACTGGCTCAAGGGTGGACAATCGCGGTTCAATCTCCGACAGAGGCAGGGGATTATCTTCTAGCCTCTGCGCTCAGATCAGTTCTGGAACCCACCCAACCTTCTCTCCAGTGGGTATCAGGGTTCTTTCCCAGGGTAAAATGCAGTTGGGGCATGCTGCTGACTGCTCACCTCCTTCTAGTGTCAAGGTTGAGAACCTCCTCTCCCCTATGTGCCAAAATTGGCATGTAACAGGATGGCTTTACTTTAAACCCCATGGACTACGGAGTCATTTTTGGAAAATTAACTCTTCCATCTAGCCAAGAAATTAACCATTTTTGTGGAGCTTATAGGTTAATTATCATGTCCTGAGGGAGATGAACCAAGTACACATATTTACGCCCTGTTTCTTTAAGATATATTTTAATATTTTCCTTCCATATCTTCCCTTTATGTTTCCCATGAAAATTCTGTACATGTCTCATCTCTCCCTTGCCCGTTTCATGCCCCACACAGCCACGTGGCTCATGTTCATTGAAACAGTGAATTTGTAAAGGACCTTCATTCTAGAGTGTTTTGACTACTGGGAAATAATTGTTCTAGTCAAAGGATTTATTGCTGATCAGTGTAATCTTTTCCAAAGGTCTAAGGAAAGGATGCACATTGACGTGTCTCATATATCAGGATTTTCTGACTAACGAGAGTTGACTGACCCAAATAGTGCCTCATGTTGAACACTCGACGTTTTCTGCAGGAGATCCAATGGTGCTTATACGAGCAGTAGGAGCGGCAGAATTTGCAAGTAGACGGGGCCAGCTGTTGCAGTTCTGCACAGACAATGGGTTGAGACACAAGGCAGTCACAGAGATCCGCAAACTACGGCTACAGTTAACCAATGAGGTGAACTTAAATGTGCCTGATATTGACCTGTGTGTTGACCCCAACATGCCTCCACCAACAGATGTTCAGTCCAAGTTACTTAGGCAGATTTTGCTCTCAGGATTACCTGATCAGGTCGCCCATAAAGTAGATGAAGCTGAAATAAAAGAGAACGAGGACAAAGTGAAATGGAAGCATGCATACAGGTGAGCAGAATTCAATATTTTGGGTTATTTGAAAATTTGTATTGTTATTTATTGCTAATAACTCTAGAGCACAATTTTCTCAGCTCTTCTCATGCTTCTTGTTATTGTTGTATCATATTATATGAGGAACAAATAATAATTATCCAGCAAGGAACTATGTGGAATAAGTGCAAATGCAATGATATGGCAGACTGGAGACACTATGATGAAGTTTGGTAATGAAACGTCTTGGAAACTTATGTTTTTGGGTGTCGATGACAACATTTTTGTTCTTTGAGGAACATGTGATGTGTCATTGCCTTAAAATGCCTCAGTCTTTATTGTGAACCTGGTACGAACTATAAATTAACAGCTATACAATTTTGTTATACATTTCTGTGCATAATTTTCACTGTTTCATGTTCCAGCTATGTTAATTAGTCTGCTATGTCAGAACATCAGATTGTTTCCATGTTTGTAATTGTTATATCCCAAAAAAAAATTATTTTGAATTTGTAAATACATTTGTGATCTTTTTCCTTGCAAAATGTCACGTGAATAATTTAATAAATGTTCATCATTTGTCACCATGAATCCTAAAGCTCGGCATAAATTTTGTGTGGCCATCATGTTTTTATACTTTGTACAAGAAAAGTACTTAAACAGATGTAGCGTAATATCCAAGATGTTACCAAACGTTATTTCAGGAAGATACAGTAGCATATGGTCTGCACTCATGATGGATGTTTATACTTCGTTTTATAAAAAATTGTCACGTATTACGGAAGGAGAGACACGTACATAACAAGTAGCAATTAAAAAGATAGAAACAGATCTTCATTTAACTAGTTGAAAGGATGTGAACTGGCTCCGGATTATGTTGAATGGTGGACTTGGTGTTAGCAGTTTTCAGAGAATTGGCTTATATAGTTTGAATTTGTTATGTAACAGATGTGCAGAGATGGAAGAACCTGTGTTCATGCACTCGGCGTCAGTCCTGCGGAAGAAGAGCCCAGAGTGGGTGGTGTACCAAGAGGTGTTTGAGACCAACAAACTATACATGAGAGGAATTACTGCGATAGAACCTGAGTGGCTGCCCATTTATGCACCCGCTCTGTGCAACTTATCACCCCCCCTTCTTGATCCAGCTCCTCGATATGATGAAATGACTGAAAAAATATTTTGTCATGTCACAGGGACTTTTGGTATGTATGCTTATGTAAGAGTACTAAATACTTCAGTTACTTAAATGTGACCTAAATAAGTCCGCAGTTCTCATTAAAATGTCTCGTCATACATACATACATGAATATTTTAACGTCTTTGTCTTGCGTATGTGGCGATGTTTGAGAATCAATTAAATAAGACTACACATTGAAGAAACTGAACGGCTGTCTTCTGAGTTGTTGTGCCGTGTAGTCTGGTAGAAGTTTACCGACGTCTCACAGGTCCTTGCTGCATCCATCATCAGGATACTGTAGCAATTACATGTGCTATGTATTTTATTTCATTTTAGGTCGTGCAGCATGGCAGTTACCCACTGTGGAAATAGAATTTCCTCCGAGCCTTGATTGTTACAAGTGGTTTGCTTGCTTCCTTCTAGAAGGCAGCATCTTTCCAAAGTTGGAAAAATATAGAAATTCATTACTGAGTGTTCCAAAAACTATGGTGAAGTCATGGGCAAAGTAAGTATTATGACGACTCATCTTCTGACTGATATATTACTTTTGTAGTTGACAATTAGAAAGGAACATTAAGTCTTACAAGTGTTTATTTCTGACACCACCAGTATGGTCATATTTTAAATTTGTTTCCTTGCACTATGTTTAATGTAGTTATGTTTCCTTTGTAAGATAATAAATTAGTTTGTAATTTACTAATTTGGGCACAAGACTTCTGCAACTATTTTCTTGGCATGTCACAGGCATTGATTGTATGCTTGAAGTTTTATGCTCTTGTAGGTATAATGAGACTAGTAAACATTTTGGCTGCATGAAGCATAAGACTCCTAACCGTATCATGGGGGAAAATGGCTAAGTAGTCATACAAGACGGTATTTCACTGGAAGCTGGAATTGCTGGAGTTCCTAAGTTATTGTCGGCCATAAAAGAAAGAACAAACAAATTTGAAAGACTGGTGGAATGAAGAGGAATGATTTTAAGAATTCACGTGGTGCATTACTATTTAAAGGAATACCCAGATCTGTGCATAGCTTTATTGAGGTGGACTCTTGTCACCTATGTAAAGTCTGCATGCAAAGGAGATATAAATATAAGAAATTGTGTAAGATTTGAGGTTTTCACAGCGGTGAGTATAAAGATTTCCGTCTTCTGGGTTGTTGCGCCGTGTAGTCTGGTCGATGTTTACCAACGTTTCAGAGGTCATTCTGCCTCCATCATCAGGGCGATGAGTATAAAGATTTCCGTCTTCTGGGTTGTTGCGCATCAGGGCCTGAAACGTTGGTTAACATCGACCAGACTACACAGCGCAACAACCCAGAAGACAGAAATCTTCATCTAAATTGTTATAGGAATTGTGTTGTTATGTATATAATTGACTCTGGGAAGTAGCGTCACAAGTTCGTTGGAGACCTACGTTGCTGGCACAAGTGTTGGGGATATACACAGTAACTACATGTTGCAAGTCTTCCTCATTACTAGTAAATATGTGTTTCTTCTGCAGGTTGCAGCCCAGGACAGATATTCTGTTGAAAGCGCTGGTTGCTCGGCAAGTGGACTCGAAACCAAAGCTGTTGGAAGCTTGGAAGAAAGACCCTTCATGTAAGTTTTCAGAACTTGGGGAAAAAAATTATTCATATTTTGTCTGAACTTACTGTGCACTTGGATGGCTAGTAAATTATTAGCAACTGTCAGTATAATAGGTAAAATAATACCATTCTTTTTCCATTGTGACATGTAAAATGTTTAATTTCAGATCTCTTATCAGCATATCAGAGCTGGGTACCTGAATCAGCTCATAATGATGTCGCACTTTCATGGCCACCTGTGTAATTTTGTCAAAATGAATTATCTGTAAAAAAGATTTTAAGGTATGCATCCTGTTGTGGAGATGGAATGTCAACCTAACGATTTGTAAATAACTGAACAAGCAGAATGATTTTTTGGAGTATATTTATCGTCTTTGATTTCAAAGGCCATTACAAAAAAAATACTGTTGACGACAGCTACATAAATCATAAAACACATAACAGAAAATACACGAGAAATGGTAATCCCATAAAACATATTCTAATACTTCTTTCCAAAAACTCTGTATGTCTCTTTAGAACTGGACATGGGGGGAGGTATGGAATGTGAGATTATGGGTTTATGGATTATGTATTTATTGCTAATGTTATGTAGTGAATTTCAAAACTGAAAATGTAAGGATGAAAAGCATATTTAAAGCTTCAAAGTTTAAATCCATGTGACAAACACCGTTGTCACTTTTTCATTACTGGAAGATTGTGGCGGTTGTTTTAACAAATTCACTGTGCTTCTTTATGTAAATGTATCTTTGCACATAGGAACCAAGCTGTGTTATATAAAGGATCCACAAAGTATTTTTTACTTTCGCACTAGACAAACATTTATGATGAGCTTCATACTCCCTCTTTTAGCAGTATAGGAAAAAGCCCAAGCATCCATTGACGAAGAGACTGGGTAGACCTCAGAACCATATTGCATCGGTGTCCGCGTTGTTACGGAAAGAGGTTATACTGAATAATGAAGGCCGTTCAACCACGAACATTATAAAATCAAAGCGCAGATCTCGGCTTACTGACGCCCATCTTGACGATTGTTTGCGAGCAGCAACATCATCCTACACTCCCAAATTTGAAAAACTGGCCGATGAAATGCAGCGCCAAACATCGCACTAACTTCCCACTTGAGTAATAATAATTTTACTTATAAAACTACGTATTTTTGATTGCACGGTTTCTTGTATCATTAAACGTCATGTTGTTTTGCATATTATTTGGTGTCCATGTCTTATTTGTCCAGAGAAAAGAAAATTTGGCTTTTTTAATTGGTTGGTGCCCGCCACGATCTCATAAACTCTCAAATGTGCCCGTAGGCACAAAAAGTTGGGGGACCACTGCCATATTGTATATGGGGAAGAGAAAAATCCCATCAGCCTAACCAGGAATTGAATTCTGACTTGCCTTTTTGTGCTGTCACAGCTTTTGTGCAATTTCTGCAGCCTTGCATTTAATAGTTCTTTAAAACATTAATCAGTTCACTGATAAGGAGGAGTCATAAAATTCATAATTTGGAAACTGAAAAACACAGAAAGAGAGTGGCATATATCGTAAACAGATCTGTTGATGTGCATGTATAAAACTAAATCTTATGTCTTAACAAGCTAATGCGTGCACGCTGTAATAAATATTTCATTGTTTTTTTTAAAGATTATACCTGTATAATTTAAACATAGTATTTGAAAACTGCTCTCAGATGCATCGGTCAAACAAGAAAATGCAAGACTAAAATGCTTTTATAATAATATAAAGCTGGTATCAGAATGTTTAACGGTGTGGGTCACTATGGCACTGAGAGTAACATGTAAACATTTAAAGTGTCTTATGTCACAGAATTCTAATTTCACTCAACTTATGATCACTAAGACTAGTGTAATATTCATTTCTACATCTATTCTGATTTAATATGAGTATTCTCAACTTCCGTCTTCTTTTCAGTAGCTCCTTTCTTCTTTAATGGATTATCCTTACATTCATTGTACAGATGATTTAGATCAAATGATGCCTTCATGTTATCCTGTAAGAGAAGGATCACATGATTTACGATTTCTCCTCTTTGCAAATGTTACGGTTAGCGTAAAATAATAATAGCCACTTCACTGCTGTGATCAGGAATTTCTGGTTGACACATACGTACTCCTAGAACTGGAGATCCGTATTCATCTCTCCTTTTTCACCAATATATATGTCTGAACTGAGGTTTATACGTTTATTTGATTAAGTGGTCACAGTGTTCTCAGAGGTAATACAAATGATCAGTGGAAAGTGATTCAGTGGTGGGTGAATTTTAATGGCTGTTGCTTTTTGGCCTTCTGTTTAAAATATTTGCAGAGTATTGGTATACGTAGGGCAGCCAAAAAGTTCCCGGAATTGTGGTATAGCACTGTAATGGTAAGACATATGACAACGCTTACCTAATCACCTTAAAAGTAGGACCATTGCGCGCACACACACTTGCTCCATCGATCCTGCCATTGTTGGAAGCACCGGCGGAAGGCTTCGTTTGGAATCATCCGGAGTTCGGCCGTCGCATTCGATTTGATGTCCTCCGTGGTTGCGAAACGCATCCCCTTGAGGCCCATTTTCAGAGTAGGGAACAGCCAGAAGTCACTCGGAGCGAGATCCGGAGAGTATGGTAGTTGGGTGATGATGGGAATGATTTTCTCGGCAAAGAATTGCTGCACGACCAGCGAGGTGCGACGGCCGAACTCAGGAATATTCCAAACGAAGCCTTCCCAAAGTGCTTCCAACAATGGGAGGATCGATGGAGCAAGTGTGTGTGTGTGTGCGCAAGGGTCCTGCTTTGAAGGTGATTAGGTAAGCGTTGCCATATGTCCTACCATTTCAGTGTTATACCACAATTCCGGGAACTTTTTGACTGCCCCTCATATAGCCACCAATAATCAGAATCAATTGAGCATGAATGCAATGAGATCCTTCATGGAAGGGATCTGAAGTTTTGCTGTTTATAGAAACCATAATAAAAGATCTCCACAGAGGAATTAAGATGTTTCAAATGTAAATATTTATTGAATATGAAGATAGTAAAATATCACATTAAAAAAGTAACCTTTGTCCTCCTGTATATAACCCTAAAAGTTACATCTAGTGGACTGTTTTGGTGAACAAGGAGGCAACTTTTCCACTTACTTGAGAATTTTGTTTCGTGGTCTAGCGGTTAGAACGCTGGCCTTGTAATCCTGGGGTCTCGGGTTCGATTCCCGGCGGTGCCCGAATTTATAACTTGTGTTGGGCAAGGCCGTGGTCTAGGCAACACGGAGTTTTCCTCCGGGGGCTTCCCCCTCTGTGGCATCCCAACAATTACTCCATTCACACACAGAAGAAGGCAATGGCAAACCACTTCTGGATCATCTGCCAAGAACGTATATGAACAGGTCCCAGTCAGAGAAACGGATGGAAGGGTCCTGTTCATATGGACCTGTCGTCAGACAGAACACTAAATAAAAATAAAATATCCAGTACGCACCATTCAACTGGCGTGCATTGGTGGTTAGCAGGATTCACGACCCATCAGTACATGGGTTCGATCGGGACTGCAACATTTAACGCTCCTGCTGTGACCCCCTTTTAGAGAGATGATGAAAGTGGAGTAATTGTTGGGAAACCCCAGAGGAAAACTCCGTGATGCCTGGTCCACGGCCTTGCCCAACACGTTGTAAATCTGAGCACCGCCGGGAATCGAACCTGGGACCCCCAGTATTACAAGCCCAGCATTCTAACTGCTAGACCACCGTGGCGGTTACTTACTTGATATGTGGGCACTGAATGATTTGCTATACAATGTTAAGAGAATGTGCAGAAGGCAAAGAGTATGCAATGAAAAAAAGAAAAAAAATTTGCATGTCCAGCCAACTAAACATTATTTTTTTACATTTTCTGCTAATAAAAACAGATGTTCTTACATGTGCACACTGCACATTCACCTTAGCTATACATCTTTCACATTCATGTGATGGACTGTAACTTGAAATTGAAAAATTGTGCCTATTTACAATAAATGACACATGGAATATTGCTTCATCAAAAAATATGACCTTGCAGTATTAACCATTCAACCACGTTTGGTCAGTAATGTGTTGTACCATACTAAAATAATACACCAAAGAAAATATACTGTTATATTTTGGAAATTGGGTTACAGTTAGGCCACTGCCCACTCTACTGCAATAATATCGAAAGACATTTTTCTCCCCCTAGATATCTTACCTCAGAAAAAAAGAATTTGATAAGTTTCCCTCTGTTATCTGCAGCAGGTCGTCTGGTTACTTCTTTACCACCTTTGAACAGAATCACTGTTGGTAGCTGATGACTCATAGATGAATCACTGATATTGTATTTCTTGGCAGCATCAGGGTAGCGACCCACGTCAATCTTTCCAAATTTTAAGTTGTCTAGGACATACCTGTTAGCATAATTGAAAAAAATTATATATGATAGAACTGTCTCGAAGATAGTTCACTCAGCACGATAGTGCTTTGTCAATAATGAATCTGCATATTCTCTAACGATAAGGTATGTCTTAAGAGCTAAACAACTTTGATTTCTCTAGGATGAACCTGTGGCACATTTGGTTGTGAAACCTTAAGCAACAAGAGAAACATAAATAAGAAAGAAAAAATATTTACTGTGCCGATAGTTTTGCAAATGTAGGAGCGAAGTTAGTGCAGGAAGGATTCCACACTGTGTAGAACACTACAAGCCAAGTGATCCTTTTATCCCTTTCTAGTTCTTCTTCTAATCCTGCAGCTGTTCGGAAATACACAACATTCTCTGGGCCGGAGTATGTTGGTTCTGGCAGTAACATTCCAAACACTGCAGAAAGAATACATAATGAATGATGAAATCCTTTAGGGTAAGCAGCCATATCAATTCAAACCAAAAGTCCAACTTTCCAGAGACCAGTGGTCTCTTGAAATGTTGAACTCTCACTCTGAACTGACATGTCTGATACTCTGAAAGGATTTTATCATTTCTATTCACTGTCAAACCTTCAAGTCACAGAATACATTTATCAAACTTTGAACTTTAAATGGGAAAGTGTGTATAAACACAGTGACCTACTTACATATAAAGAGAATTCCATATCCAATTCCCAACCGTATGTCAGCATAAAACCAAAGTATGAGATTTGCAACTTTATTATACATGAAACTTGAAGTTAAATAATTTATCATTGTCACACTTCCTGCTTTCTTTGTTCTGATCACTACAACAATCAGAAGGAAAAACAGAATTTCGGACTCTCTCTGAAAGAAAGAACATATTCGATCAGATCTTGTATCCATGTAAGAATACCTTATTTCTAGATTCCTTAATTAGGTACCTTCTTAAATGACAATTACGGTAAATTTTCAGCATTTGCAAAGTAACTATACTTACAGTGTCTAATTCACATTGTGGTGATGCGGTTGGAAATAAAATACTGCAAACAAATGGAAGTTTTTTAGCAGCAAGATATGACAGACTCAGTAAAATATTAACAAAATAATATGGCTTTAGTAGCAAAATTAAATCATCCTTTAGGGACATTCTCCAATGTATTCACATGTGCAATACAACCTTTTGCTTTTTTAACTTTCAGGGTTTTAAACATAGGTGTCACTGTGTATTATGTGTTAGAACTATCTGTAAAGGAATTACGAAAATTAGAATGGTTCCTAGCATGTATAACTACCGACAATATGTTGTTATATGTGACTACGGATTTTGGGCGACAGCATACCGAATGTTTGATGTTAACGTTTCGTCAAACACTGCAGTTGCCCGAAAGCCGAAATTATGCATTGAACTCCAGCCGCGAAAACCTTCGGTCAAGCACTCCTCTTATGTTGGCAGCATTGATGTTTCATCCTCCATTGTATTTGTTGTGGTTGACGTTGACGTTGGATTATTCTGAAATTTGTTATTTGTGGAAAGAGATGTAATTCTAAAACAAAATGGCTGCAGTGGAAGACGATGAGTTTCTAGATGAAGAACCGATAGATATATTTATAAGTTTTCCACCTGAAGTTCAGAATGCTATTGAACAGGTAAGAAAATACTGTGGTGTGGAAGCTGCCTTCGTGTTCCAGTCATATCTGAATTTCAAGGCACTGTCCTACTCAACAGCATAGCCAACGTACTTTAGGACCATGCGATAGCTGTAGTAGCCGGCTATTTAGCTGGGAGACTCGTGTTACAGTTTTGTGCACACATCAGTCAATGTTGGATTTATTGTGGACGAAGTGGTGCTCGGACAGGTGTCTCTCCGAGTCCAATGGTTTTTTGGAGTCAGTATTCCTTTTGCAGCACCGCAGCCACAAATATATTTGGGGAATGGACGAAGGGCCCGTTAGAGACACAATTCGGCAGATGTTGTCTTGCCTCAGTGCACTCATTAACAATATCAAACGTATGATATATTGTTTAAACTACAAATGAGATTGATTTTTGGCATTTTGGCTCATTAAAATGTAGAAACCGTCAAACCACGTTTTAATTCATTGAATGTTTTATATGGTCTGTCACATGTCATCCATCTGACTACAATTGAGTATAATCCATTACTATTCGTAATGAAAGACAAGAGTATCGGATTTAATCTCAAGTGTATTGAAAAACATTAAAATGTGCACTGTTCAGAAGATGCACTGTATGTGATATATACATTTAGTTCCTTCAGTTGCATGCCATTGATCGTGTTTTATGCCTGTCAACAGTGAGTTATCTTGATGGAATCCAAAGCATACAGTCTTTGATATATAGGACAGAATAGAATAGAAGTTAATTTATTACATTATATAGATCATTCATAGGCTGAAGCCAAGGATGTAGAACATGCCATAGAACACATACTTGTTTCTAATACATATATAAAATACATAGGTATGACAGTAATTTAAAGTCAACTGCAGTGTTACTGCAAAATAATTACACAACAAAGCATAACGACTATTACTTATATTTATTTATAATATCCGAAAATGTATGCTTAAAGTAAATTATTTTATAGAGTAGAAGGAGTGAGATAGGAGATACTCTTTTGGTGATGGCTTAAACTTCTTTATGTTGTGATAAATACTTTTTGTAGTGGGAAGATTATTGAATAGCTTAATTTCAGTATAGTAAACTCCTTTTTGATATTGAGGTTATGGCACATGAAGGTTATATCTGTATTTTGTTCTTGTATTGTGGATATCCAAATTTGTTTGAAAATTTTATGTGATGTCCACTACAAATGATAATAAGAGCGATAATTTGCAGACTGGTGGAAGAATGTTCTTAAATTTCTTGAACAATTACTTGCACGAGGTTAGGCTATTATTTTGCTTGTTTTAGTGCCTATTTTTGTGATGATTTTCTTTTGGATGTAAAATACTTTTTGTTCTCTGCTGAGTTTCCCCAGAAAATAATGCCATACGACACGATCGAGTCAAAGTAAGCAAAGTAGACTAATTTTAAATTTTCTGTTTTTATGAGTGATGTGACAGTCCTCATAGAAAAGCATCCTGAGCTTAGTTTGAGGATGATATGTTGAATTTGTGTTTTATAATTTAAATTATTGTCAATTTGTATGGTAAGAAATTTAGTTGTTTTCTACTTCAATTGCTTTATCCTCATACTCTGTACTTAGATTGGCACAGTTTACAATGCAAAACAAAATATTATATATATATATAATTTTTTTCTGTACATTTTATTGAACATGAGATTGGCCAGAATATTACATTGTCCCTTTTTTGACGTAAATACGTCTGTGGAGATAACAAGATGGATGATATTGAAGCTAAAAGAGTGATGATGATAATTTAAATACAAAGACGTATTTACATCAGATTCTCCGGAACCGTGGTTCCACTGTCAATTTTTTGTTCTAGGTACTTCCAAGTAATGATCCTCTTGACCAACCCGATTTTAATGCTGTTGACTATATAAATACTCTGTTTCCAACCGAGCAGTCTCTTTCCAATATTGATGATGTGGTCAACAACATGGAATGTAAGATTCGTACCATCGATGATGAAATTCGGACTGTCGTTCGAGGACAGACAAATGTTGGACAGGTACAATGCAGGAGACTTACTGTATTCCCATTCTTATCAGACTCACTATTTTAAAGATTGCTTTAAATATGAGAAAGACTAAATTCTGAAGTCAATGTTGCATCTCCCCTATTATTTTGGTAGGATGGACGCGCAGCCTTGGAAGAGGCCCAGCGGGTTATTCGTCAGTTATTCGTGCATATCGCAGACATCAAGGCGAAAGCAGAACAGTCAGAGGAGATGGTGAAAGAAATCACACGTGACATCAAACAGTTAGATTGCGCCAAGCGAAATCTGACTGCAGCAATCACGACGCTGAACCATCTCCACATGCTGGTGGGTGGTGTGGATAGCTTGCAGTAAGTATTATGATTTTGAGTGACAATAGCATATAATTTTCTAACACAATAACCTCTGGTGATTTGAATCATCAATTACTCTTTCTGTTTTGGTTAGAATGCTTACAAAGAAGCGCCAATATGGTGAGATCGTGATGCCTCTTCAAGCGGTCATGGAAGTAATGAAACACTTTCACAACTATATGGGCATTCCACAGATAAAACAACTTGCACATCAGGTATATTTTATGTTTGAATGTTAACAGGCTTGTGGAACTGGTTACCGATGTACATGTTGCTGAATTTGTTGGTGCTGACATCGTCAGATGGTGGTCACTCTTTATCACGGCCTTACACGTTATGTCAGCATTAGTTTGAGTTTGTTTAGTTTTGGTTAAGTTTGACTGTTTTTACAGTTCAAATATTTGGGAACAACAGCAACAAATCAAAATGATACTCACGAGGAAGTTAGGAGGAGACTAAATTCCGGGAATGCTTGCGACTTCTCAGTTCGAAATATTCTGTCTTCCCGTCTGATTTTTAAGAACCTGAAAATTAAAGTATACAAAACAATAATTTTGCCTGTTGTTTTGTATAGATGCGAAACATGGTCTCTCACTCTGAGAGAGGAACACAGATTGCAGGTGTTTGAGAATAGGGTGTTGAGGAGGATATTTGGGCCTAGGAGAGAAGACGATGGGGCATCGAGAATACTGCATAATTATGTGCTTAAAAATCTGTACTTCTCCCCCAATATTGTCAGGATGATTAAGTCGAGAAGAATGAGATGGGCAGGACATGCAGCGCACATGGATGGGACAAGAAGTATGCACTGGGTATTGGTCAGGAAGCCTGAGGGGAAGAGACCGCTGGGGAGACCTAGACGTAGATGGGAGGATAAAGTCAGGCGGGATCTATGGGAGATACGAGTTGAAGGAGACTGGATTTTGTTGGCCCAGGACAGGAACTGGTGGAGGGCTTTGGTTAATTCGGTGATGAATCTTTGAGTTCCGTAAGCCATCTAGTTAGTTAGTTGACTGTTTTTACAGTGTTAGGTTAAGTTAATGTTGATGGGCTTAGTTTACCTTTGATACTTTCAGGTCATGACCTTAAATCGTTAAATATTTCTAGGTCAGTAATTTGTACATGAGTTGCATGCGTAGTGTTAAGCAGTGGGTGTCAAATTTGTCATTGTGGGGACTGACTAAACAATTTAGTGATTTAGTGAGAATTTTCTCAGTATTTCTTTTAGTGTTTTCTTTGAATCTCTTTGATAGCCAGATTTTTGTGTAGTCTCAATAAGGCTGCAAGAAATCTACTTTCTGGAATTTTATTCCATCATTGCAAGTGAAGTCTTTAACTTTGATGTGACTTCTTCTTGAAATTAAAGTTTGTTAAGAACTTTCGGAGATGGTTCTTTTTGCTCTAGCCCAGCGTTTCTCAACTTACGGTACGCTTACTGCTGCAGTACGAAGGCCAGTGTCGAGTGGTACGCGAACTAAGTAAGAAAATCAAAAGATAATATTAACATAAACAAGTTTTCTCTGAACGTGTTTGGTTTGTGGTACATTTAATATGTTAGGCCAGTGAAAAAGGTTGGGAACCCTTGCTCTAGCCTACTTCAGAATCATAAAATGATTCAACAAGGAAATCAAATGTCTCTTAATCATAGAATTGATATTAAAGTGTGAAAGAAGTAATTAGATGGGAGATAGCTTAACGACTATGTCCATGAAGGTTTAACCATTTTGATTTTAGAAAATTTCTTACAACAAAATTTTGTCTCAAAGGTGTTGTTGAATCTTTGTGCATGATAGTACTGAAAGAATATCGTGCAGTCACTATTTCTGCACATTTCAGTTCAGTTTGTGTAATGAACACAGTTTACAAGGCGTAATTATACAGCGTGTTTCAAAAGTAGCTTTACAACTTGAGGGCGAGATATTGGTGAACTGTTAGGAGAAACATATAATTTCAGAACATATAAATGTAGTCAAACACTTCGCCATCGGATTTTTATGGTTCAATGTGACTTCCATTTGTTATGCAGCAGACGCCCCATCTGTAGTCAATAGCTTACCACATGCGGTGTAACATCTCCGGTGTCACTTCAGCAACTGTGGCGGTAATTCGAGTTTGGAGTTCGGCAAAATTTGCAGGTAAGGGTGGCACGTACACTCGATCTTTAACAAATCCCCACAAGAAAGAAAAAATCTAAAGGTATTAGATCCGGGGAACGAGGTGGCCATGCTATTGGTGCGGCCTGACCGATCCACCGACCTGGGAAACGGTTGTTGAGGTACTCGCGCACTTCTCTGAGGTAATGAGGGGGTGCACCGTCTTGCTCGAAGTGAATGCGGTCTTCCTGGTCATCTTCAAGTTGAGGAATGAGGAACTGTTGGAGCATGTCCAGATACATATTGCCGGTAATGGTCCGGGAGCGGTCGCGGTGGCGATTTTTGGTACAACAGTTTATGTGCATGAAACTTGATGTGTTTGGCTAAATTTGTGCATATAAAAATATTGCGCACGTCCTTTAAATAAATTTATATTCTCCTGCGAAGTTGTAAAGCTACTTTTGAAACATGGTGTATGAACAGCTGACCTTGAATGTAGCTGCTACTCCGATATCTTATTCTCTTTGGCATGTTTTAGGTTCATCAGATTCATCTGGAACTTGCTCAGCAGATAACTTCAGATTTCCACGAAGCTTTCTCTGGACCAAATGCCAAGCACTTTACTCCTAACAAGCAACTGGCAGAAGCTTGTCTTGTGGTGTCTGTGCTCGATCCGAGAGTCAAGTGAGTTATCCGGCATTTAGTGCTGTGACAAGGATTAGTTGATATTCTTTTGGGTACTGGCACTGCGTGGACTGGCCGGTAGATGCCAGTGCTTTGGAGAACTGTGCTGTCTCCATGTCTGCAGCTTCATCCTTGAAGATGGAGATCACACGGTCCTCCAAAATGTTGGCTTCTATTGGCCAGTTAGCACGGCGCCAGAACCCAAAAGAACGCCATCATGACAACTTTGAAAACCTCAAATGTCACAGGAGAATTTGGATTGAAAAAGGAAAATGCGGTGTTCATTTACTTAGGTGTAATATTACCAGAAATAAATATTAGTCTAAAAGCATTACGTTTGTTATCTGCATCTGGGCATAACATATTTTTCTTTGGTCTAGGAGACAGCCCAAAACTTTAGGAGCGAACAGTTTTTCCCTTTCAGGGTTTTATATCTCAATCGTTAACAAATTATTTTAATATGCCAGCAACGAATGGAATAATTTATATGTTTTAATTTGTCTGTAATGACTGAAATTTATGCACATTTGTAATACAGAAGTGCATTCTTTTGTCTTTCAAACAAACCATCGGCACATCCTTTCACCTTGCATATTATATTCTCTTTCTTCAATTTCGGTGACTTTTTCCCAAAGTTTTCTGGCATGTCATAGGTCTCCTAGTTGGTTTCTGTCAATGTTTTTTTTTTTAAAATTAAAAGTTTCTATGCATATCATAGACCAGTAGTCCCCAACATTTTTGTGCCTATGGCACATTTGAAAGTTTATGAGATCGTGGGGGGGCACCAACCAATTAACAAAGCCAAATTTTCTTTTCTCTGGACAAATAAGTTACGGACACCAAATAATACACAAAACAACACAACGTTTAATGATACAAGAAACCACGCAATCAAAAATACGTACTTTTATAAGTTCAATTATTATTACTCAAGTGGGAAGTTAGTGCGATGTTTGGCACTGCATTTCATCGGCCAGTTTTTCAAATTTGGGAGTGTAGGATGATGTTGCTGCTCGCAAACAATCGTCAAGATGGGCGTCAGCAAGTCGAGATCTGCGCTTTGATTTTATAATGTTCGTGGTTGAACGGCCTTCATTATTCAGTATAACCTCTTTCCGTAACAACGCGGACACCCGAAAAAAGCCTTGGCAGGCACCGCGTTAGTGACCACTGTCATAGACCTTTCCTGTGCCTTTCCCACCTAACCTTTCTTGATTTAATAATTTTAATTGATGTTCAGTGTAATTTTTCTGCATTCCCCTGCTATTTTGATACAAGTTGCTACGGATGGTGCTCGTGATTCTTGTTCATAGCGTAATATGATTCTGTTTGTTGCATTTTTCAGGCGTGATTTGTTAAAATGGTTCATCGGTCTTCAGCTTGCGGAATACTGCCACCTGTTTCAAGAAACTCAAGATACAGCTTGGCTCGATAAAATTTATCAACGATATAATTGGATCAAGAGACATTTGTTGGATTTTGAGGACAAATTTGGACCTATGTTCCCACCAGGTTGGGAGGTCTCAGAGAGGATTGCGGTGGAATTCTGTCACATTACTAGGTACGATTTATGTGTTTTTAAATGTGGAATGAAAGGGATTGTAAAGTTCGAAGCTAATACATTTGTGATTTAATTTATTTCTATATATGCTGTTGATGTAGCTTACGTGCTTGTTTAGAACAAACTTTGGGAGGGAATGAATCTGACGTGGCATCACCAACCTAGTTTGGCCCTTACGTACATACTGACTAAAAACTGAAAGAGCCCGAAGTGAACCATGGGAACCCCAAGTCAGGGAAATGAATAACTATCTGTCAATAGATTCTGAAGGGTCACAACTGATAGGCATGATCCTAGGGCAAGGGTAAGGGCATTTGATAATATTTCTGTATATCCGAATGGGCATTTAGTTGCCCATGGTGGACTACTGGTTAGTGTGCTTGCCACTGAACTCGAGGTTCGCTGGTTCAAACCCTACTGAGGTCGAAGGATTCTTAAGGATGATAAAAATCCGTAGCATAACTTCCTTCGGAGCAAAGTAAAGCCCGCGGTCCCATGTCGGAGATTTACAGCACGTGAAAGAACCTTACGAGCATGAATGAGACGTTTTGTAAACAAAATTTAGCGGCCGTTTTTCATTTATGTCTCTCCTGATTCTCTGCTAGTGGCTCTAGCAGACAAATCAGGATTGAGTATAAATTATGCAGAGGCAGTGGTCATGTCACTCACTCCTCACTTCAGAGACTAGGAAACCTCCGAAAAGGAGGCGGCCAAGGCCCGACTCGGGCTGTAGTCCCGTTGGATGGATGGAAATGGGCATTTAAATGAGAGAATATTAGGTTAGCTAAGTTGGAACATACATAATTTATAGACACATCTTATTACGTTATGCTACATCACGCAAATCAAACATTAATTACCCAACTATGTATCTAATTGAATTTATTTTGATGAGCAGGTCTGAATTGTCGAAGCTTATGTCAAAACGCAAATCAGAATTGGATGTGAAGCTGTTACTTTATTCAATTGAGCGTACTAGCAGATTTGAGGGTCTTCTGGCTCAACGTTTTACTGGCGTAACATTGGAGGATTCTCCAGAACATCCGAGCTCTTTGGAAAGCGGGAAACCTCAGGTAATCCCGTGTTTGAAGTAGGGAATTATGGAATTTTAAATTCACTAATTCACTCTGTGGTGGAGGAAATTCTTTGAAAAGTCAGCCGCATACTTGTCTTGTTAAAGAGTAGCACACTTTCTTTATAGAACCCAAAGGTTCATCACTGTGTTCACAAAAGCCCACCACCAGACTCTGTCCTGAGCCATCTGCATCCAGTTTGCTCCATCGATTCCTCTCTCCCTAAGGAGGGGGTTGGGGTGAAATATTGATCTTTATCAACCGTGCATTATGTCTTATGTACCTTTCCTCTTCTTTATCTGGGGATGTTAACAGAACTGGCCTCTAAAATGAAATTTTTTCTAATCAAAATTATGGTTAATTTTCAAAGAAAGTTCTCCAATTCATGATTTATCCTCAAGGTAGTTCTTTTTAATGTGGAATGGTAAGAAAATGTGCTGAATACCAACATGTTCATTTCTCTCTTCAGGCATCACAATCGACAAACCCATTTGAGAGTTCAGAATCTGATGGAAAATCTACAAACCCATTTGATGGAGATACGGAAAACGCCGACGAACAAAATTCTTCACAGATACCAGCAAAACCTAAACTTTTACCTTTCCATGGTATAATTGGAAAATGCTTTGAACCGTACTTGTACATATATATTGAAAGTTTAGACAGGTGGGTGTGATTATATCATTATAATAACTAGAACTGTGTAAATGAGTGATCTGCAAACAGAAGTTTGATTTGGTCAGATTAGTTAACCTTTTTCATGTGCAAGTTCAGGCATTTTGTATATAAAAACTATGTATTCAATATGTCCCGCGCCGTAGCCACACGGTCTGAGGCATCATGCTTCGGACCGGCGATACGGAATGCGCGCTGGTTCGAGTCTCGGGGGGAAAAGAAATTTTCTCATGAGCTTTCGACCAGTGTATGGGACCGGTGCCAACCCAGCATCGTGAGGAAATTGGGGAGCTACAATGAGTAGCGTAATCCAGTCAGGAAAACTAGCAATGGCTGGAGGTTCGTCGTGCTGACCACATGTCATCCTATATCTGGTTGGATGATCGTTCACCTCTGCTTAGGCATGTGAACGTGAGGCCAGCAGTCAAGCTAGTCGGCTTTGGCTCTCTGGAGCTGTTACGCCAATATATGTAAAGGACAGAAGAACTGACCAAACTTGGAATGGACATTTATAACATATCGTGTACCTAAGTTGTGCTGTTTAGGTGTGTTGTGTTTTATGTTATTTGGCTTTGTCATCATCTTACAGACGAGAATCCATATAAAACATCTGATCTGTTTGTCTTTCTACTCTTCTATGTATATATCTGTATTTCTGTTATCTCTCTGTCCCTCCTTTTGTCTCTTTGTTTCCATCTTGCTGTCTGTCTCACTAATATATAGGACATTGAAGATGGATGTCTTCTGAGTTGTAGAGTCATGTGGTCATCACGGTTATATCGCCCTGATGATAGCTGCAACGAGGACCTCTGAAACTTTGGTAAACTTCTGTCTGACTACGTGGCGCTACAATCCAGAAGACAGCCATCTTCAGACTCGCCACCACGAAAACCTCAAATCCTATATCAGACATCATACAGTGATTGGTGGGTTATTATTGTTTACTTTGTAGAAATTTAGCAGATTTGATAGAGAGATTCGTACACGATGCTAAGCAGCAGCAGTCGAGCACAGCTGCCAGTCTCCCATCTGAGATTTCTGGAATGGTTCTGTCATCGTCTGCTGACCTCTTTGTGTTTTACAAGAAGTTCATGGCACAATGCGCACAGCTCAGTACAGGACAGCCGATGCTAGGTCTCGCTGCCACATTCCAGCACCATCTTCGAGAGTATGCCGTTAAATTACTTCAAAACAACTTACCGAAGTAAGTTGGAGTAGTTCCATAAGTGTATTTCTTCAAATTAAGAGTTCTCTGAATATTTCGATGTCACTGCATTACTGTTACAAATAATAATTTGTGTTGTCGGTGGTGGTCTTCCGGTTGTGACACCTTGTGGTCTAATGGGTGGTTAATGAATATATTGTCTCACCCTCAGCTGTCACAACCCTGAAGACCGCCGTTGACATCTCAGATCACAGCATTCTTAATTTTGAAATACATTTCTATACATTCTGCATAAGTTGTTTAATGGTGTAGCTCAATCACTGAAGGGATTGGCTGTGTCTTGGAAGACCAGGGTTCAGTTCCTGGCAGGACTAGGATTTTTTTTCTTTGCCACCATATACAGACCAGCTGTAGTACCTGCCCAGACTTTTTTCCGATGGGCACCACAGGCTCCTTCCCAGTGACAAAGCTATTTGAGCACCTCCATGTTGTGCCAAGGTTAAGAATGCATGGGGCCGTCATGGTGTGCAGTCGAGGAAGAGGGCAGGGATCAGAAGGGACTTGTAGATCCAGTCGTGGTTGTCCCGTCTCCACTGCGTACACTGTCCCATTGGAAATCAGTAACTTGGTAAACAGATACAAGTGCGGAGATGTTTTTATTATTTGTATTTAGTGTAAATACAAGCTTTTTTCTTTAGGATTACGACTTCTGGATCGCTGGGAAGTAGCATGTCGAGTATAACTCGAGATTTGCGTGACCTCTCGACATCAGGACTTATACAGAATTTTCATAGTCTCTTGAAAGAAGGAGAAGTGACGCGATACACTCGTGAGGAACAGGCTCGTGTTTGCAGGTAAATGTTGGCACAATTCTTCATGGATAATTGATCTATAGTTACTTCGGCTTATATTTCGGAAATGTAATTTTTTCCCATTTAATTTTTTGAGTATCTTCTAATCTCCTTTTTTCATGTACAACAAACACAGTGTCTTAAAAAGATGTATGAACGCAACCGTTAAGTATTTCAGCATTGTGTGGACATCTTTAGAAAATGTCTGGTATATTTAGAAAAGAGTCGTAACTTTTGGACTTTAAAACTGTGTGCGTATAAAAATGGTGTTTTAGTAATGAGTAAGTCATAGACGGCTAAGTGCAGGGTCAAGGATCTTATGTTATGATTTGCCTAAAACAAATGACCTTGAAAAAATGTTAAATGTGAACCTTGATTTTAAATACGCTAATTTCTTCGTCTCTAAAATTTATTATACATATTGTCTGTATATAGTTTTGAATCTGATACTTTGACCCTTATGCTGGGCAAACTTAGAAAGGGAAAACTTAATTTGTAAGTTATCACTAGTTGTAAAGAAGAAGCGAATTTGATGCAGTTGTTACGTATAGTCAGTCTCTTTACAACTACCGTTAGCATACACAGCGCCTCTAGCGGACTGCTTCCCAAACGTATTCCTTCATTACCCAAAACCGCTTATCACGAAAAAATTTTTTATCCAAGTGAAGAGAGATCGGTAAAAATTAGGAAGCAAACAATATATTTGATGCAATGTCTTTATTTTAAACATCTCTAAACATTTTAGCAGCTACAAAAAATTTGGTAATTATCCACCATGAAAATATTTCATCACCCATGTCCCAGCTAATGAGTACAAAGCCACTGCTCCATCTTATTTTCTAGTTCCCCAAAATTGGGAGCAAATAGCATATAAATACTTGTTAGACTGTTTTAGAATATCGGTGCACAATGACTGATCGCTTTCTTCAGAGTACGTCTTCTACGCTTTTACGGTAAATTTTAATGTGTATTCCGAGGTGTGTCGTTACCCAAAGAAAAAAACACTTTTACCCCTTTTTTGGGTAATTTGCCCAGGTTTGGGAAGCACTGCTCTAGTGAGTGGACATACCACCACGTAAGGTACCGTATAGTAGAGATTTTTTGCAGGGTCACAAACCTGAGTACCTGTACGGTTGGTATCATACAGCCAATTCAAAAGTGTGTATAAACAAACAGGAAACCTCCCAGTGCCTCTGGGATCTTTATTTTATGGTTTGTAATAAAGAGTTTTAAGAAAAATGGAATTTGAGATTGTGTGTTTTGATTTTCCATGTATTTCACGTGTCGGGCCTTTCTGAACAGAAAATTGCTTCATGAAAATTTAAAGTAAGATTGTAAATTTCGAAATCACAAAATAGAATTTTTGGTGTAGAGCAAAATGGAAAGGGGGTGACATTGTGTGAAATTAAGAAATTAAATTATGTTTTGAAATTCATTGATTGGAATAATATTATATAAAATATTGATTTTCTGTCTAAGGTACTTTTACTTTGGTATAAGCCGTGTCTTGTATCAACTGGCGGTCTGAATTAAGTACCCTTGTTATTGCCAGTATTCTGACGACAGCCGAGTACTGCCTGGAGACAACACAACAGTTGGAAGAGAAGCTGAAAGAGAAGGTGGATGCGCACCTGGCGGACAGAATCAACCTCTCCCAAGAGCAGGACATTTTTCACAAGTACGTTCTTCCAAAATGCACTTCTTATGAATCAGATAGGATATCGAGAGAGATTGTCCGTGTGTTCTAGCACAGTGTTCCACAACTGGTGTGCCACAGATTTGCGTAAGAAATTTTAATTTGCACATTATAATTAGAATTAAAAACAAAACTAGGAAAGAAAGAAGGCTGACATTTTACGAGACAGTGACTATAGCGGCGTTAGTATCCGCTAAAAAGAAGTGTCTTGTCTTTCGTAATTAGAATTTGTGTACGCACACGTACACTGGTTCGTCATTGATGGTTTTATTTAACGTGTGTTATAGTTTGTTTTCATATGCCTGCGTTCTTGTAGGGTAGGTATTTTTTACACGTTGATATATGTTTATGGCCACGTATAGTTTTGTACCCCTATTTTGTGAGGTCAAATTTTCTTGTGTGCTTTGATGTGTCGCTGATGAATCAGGGTGTGCTGCAGGTGAAAAAATGTTGTAGAACACTGATCTAGCATTTTAACCTACTTTCCTTTATTAGGAGCAATGACCGTAAGATCACCATGGCTCCCAAGTAGACAAATTTATCTTCTTATTTTATCTTTTCCATTTATTTTCACTTCTGTATTTTTTTCTTCATTTCTTGAGCATTTTAACATTACTGGCTTGTCTAGGTTTATTTCCAGTTCATCTTGCTTGCCTACTCTTTCCGAGTGATAGACATACAGGTAACCCTCGATTTTCTCCGATTTTGAATAAAACGCCGCTTTTGAAACCAGCAAGTCAAAAAGTGACAAAAAAATATATTTTACTATTATTTATAATGTCTTACAATGTTTCTCATACTAAATCGTAATTCTTACATCGCTGATTTTGAATAAAAATTATAAATACAGTCACCTCTGCACTCATTGCTAAGTAGTTGCGTAGGTCTATTGCGTTAGAAGATAAGCTGGACTTAATTCGTAGAATAGAAGATGGTGATACCCGTCATAATGTCTTATAGTTTCCAGTCGTCTCACATATAGATTTAAACATTTGAAGTAAAATAGCTGTCATAAATTAATCTTAGAATGTCCCATTCCATTGAAAGTATGTTTGTCCGTTCCCATAGATTTTTTTAATGCATTTAAAATGGATTTGCAGTGTTCTTGGCTGGTCATAGTATTCTTGAAGCTACGTACGCAAAGAAATATGTTGGTTGAATATAATATTTTTTCCTGTACTTGGCGTAGTTTCGAGTGCTAAAAGTTACATTTGAAACATTTCACGTGGATTTGGGCTGAAGACTTCTCAGGACAGGATATTTTGAATTTTTATGCAAATTAGAGAACTGATCAATGTGATTTATTTCTTGCAGTGTTATTTCAAATTGCATTCAGTTGTTGGTCCAGGATCTGGAAACAGCTTGTGAACCTGCCCTCACAGCGATGAGCAAGGTAACTTTTTAAATTTATCCTTTATCATCTGTAACAGTCGCAGTATGCCAGTTTACGTTCGTATGGGTCATCCTTGAATATATGTCATGGTAGAAAAAGGAAGACATGAATCTATTTGAGTGCTTGCCCAGTAATTCTGTTCTGTGAAGGTTACAATGACTGGATCAGCGAGTGATTATAAAATACTGATCGCCAGGTTTGGTTTTGTGTGGTGCCACAGCATTCCTTAATTTACAGTCTAGAACAGTGGTCCCCAACGCGGTGCCCGTGGGCGCCATGGCGCCCGCCAAGGCTTTTTTTGCGTGTCCGCGTTGTTACGGAAAGAGGTTATACTGAATAATGAAGGCCGTTCAACCACGAACATTATAAAATCAAAGCGCAGGTCTCGACTAACTGACGCCCATCTTGACGATTGTTTGCGAGCAGCAACATCATCCTACACTCCCAAATTTGAAAAACTGGCCAATGAAATGCAGTGCCAAACATCACGCTAACTTCCCACTTGAGTAATAATAATTTTACTTATAAAACTACGTATTTTTGATTGCGTGGTTTCTTGTATCATTAAACGTTGTGTTGTTTTGTGTATTATTTGGTGTCCATATCTTATTTGTCCTGAGAAAAGAAAATTTGGCTTTGTTAATTGGTTGGTGCCCGCCTCGATCTCATAAACTCTTAAATGTGCCCGTAGGCACAAAAAGGTTGGGGACCACTGGTCTAAATTATAAAATACTGCATTTGAGAAGCTGGATTCAGCTGCCATCTTCAATTAAAAAGGGGAAGATGGAACTTTTAGATATCCCGCTAATTCTTCGTCAAAACTTCATATACCTGGAATTTGTAAATTTACAGCTCTCTCTTTGAACAATGCTATTTCTAGGGCACTTGACAACATTTATTTTTGTTCAGAAGTTGAACTTTAAACCATCTGATTTGTTCTTAAGTACTGCTGACTCTTTTGGCGTCGCTAATCATGCCATGATTTTGCCTGGGCCCTTCTGTACTAAACTGGAGTGGAACCGGCTTACCGAACCTTCAAGTTTAAGTGAAGCAGGTATCCTTTATTCCATACCATGAGGTGCAAATACAAAATTGGTTCTCATTCTTACCATGTTTGATCCATAGAAGTTTCAAGCCCCTGTTACAACACTTACGAAGTTTTTGAAGATAACGTTTATGATCTAGGGGCAGCACGAAAAACAATCTTTGACCACCGCTTCAGGTTAAAAAGAAGTTACTGTAGGTAGCAGTTTTTAAAATTCATTTAAAAAAGAAAGTAGTTCAAATGACAATTCAACAAAACTTACGTGACGCTTTTTTATACATGAGATCGTTGAAGACTGGCATTGAAACTCCAAACTGTGATTATATACGTTTCCACGCTTTTATTTTTTGATATTAAATAGAGTCAAATTTTTACTTTGAATAACAATTGGGTTATTATTTCCTCTCACACGTTAGATTTCGTGGCAGAACATTGAGACCGTGGGAGATCAAAGTGGCTACGTCACAGCCGTCACTTCTCACTTGAAGCAGACCGTACCAGTTATTCGAGACAACCTCGCCTCCTCTCGGAAGTACTTCACCCAGTTCTGCGTAAAGTTTGCAAAGTGAGTGTAGCCTAACTTCCGTGTCCTGTGAATGCACTAAACGAAATATTTTGAATTATCCGTGTTTTTTGTGTGTTCTCGCCGTCGTTAACGCAGATAATCAGGATTTATTTTGAGTACTGGTTATTTCATGTAACTGAAAATCTAAATTAGGTCACATTTTATTTTGAGTATGTAGTAGACTTGAAGATGGTGTCTTTGTCATCTCTAAAACATTGATGAGTATCTACCAGACTTCACAGCGCTAAATCCCAGATGACAGCCATCTTCTAACTCATTAGTGTCATATATACAGAGTTGTCTAAATGATGTTCCCGATTTGAAACACGTTACTCACGTTTAATGAAATTCAGATGCACAAAATTGGTACCGATGGAAAGAAAAACTCTCAAAGTTTATGTTGGTATACTTCGCGGCTGCGTAGTAACACTGTTCGCCGCCAGGGGCAATATGAGAGAAAATGGCTGCCATTGAAGACGAGAGCCTTTTGTGTCCTGGATTTCCACGTTCACTGGACCTGACGACCTGTGATTTTTTACCACAGACCTTGCTTAATCTGCAAGCGCGTATCACAGCAGCCATTGCTGCAATCGATCATAATATGCTGCAATGTATCTGGGAGGAACTCGACTACAGGCCGGATGTGTGCCGAGTTACCAAGGGGGTTCACATTGTACTGAAACAAAACTTGGAGAGTTTATCTTTCCATCGGTACCAATTTTGTGCATCTGAATTTCATTAAACGTGAGTAGCATGTCTTTCAAATCGGGAACATCGTTTAGACTTGCTCTGTATTAGACTTCGTAATAGTATTTTTCAATGTGAGTGCGTAATACACATATTAATTTATTTTCAGTTCGTTTATACCAAAGTTCATTCAGCACATCTATAAATGTAAGCCAATTAGCACAGTTGGGGCTGAACAACTGTTGTTGGACACACACATGCTGAAAACCGTTCTTCTCGACTTGCCGTCTATTGGCTCTCAGGTGAATCGCAAGGCTCCAGCCAGGTTAGTGTATTGATCATGTTCCTGAGAATAGATAAGTACTGGTGCGTGTTTTTAGGAAATGGGACGCTTCTACGAACCTTACACTTATTTCTGAGACGTATAGTTGAGAGGCACAAATTTTTGATGGTGGAGTCCGATTGTAAAGAAAGTATGTGTGTCGCTTTTCTGCGTGAAAAAGACTCGCGAAACCTTATCTGTCGTCATTTAAAATTAAGGCACCAAAATTATGTACAAAATCCAAAAGGAATGTTGATGTCGATCCTGCTTTTTTTTGATGGCGCCATGTGGAAGTTGGCGTGTTTCTGATAGTTTAGAGAAACTTTCTCCGTCTGTGATAGACGTAGTATTGTCCTCTGAAATCTGAGCGACAAAGCAAACTTGAACTTCAGGTCGTTAATAGAGTGTTTTCCACCGATTGAAATATGAGTGAACGTAAGCGCCCGTGGAGGTGTATGACCACCCATTTTAAGTCTTTTTGGTAGATGAAAGTAAATTTTGCTGTCACATGAAATCTGCAGAATTATGCTATTGTGGTTTACAGTGGCAATGCATTTTGAAGCATTAACGCACATAAATCTGATGTATAAAGTGAAGCTTTCTCGGCGAAGACTCTTGGGCTACAAGACGCATCAGGTGGCTGAATGGTGAATAAACCGCGTCCTGTGCCCGGAAGGCCGAGCCGGCGAGAGCGAGCACTTGACCTTGACTGCCGGTTTCTGTTGGTCAGCGCGAAACAAAGCAACGGGCGGGCATCCAGCAACACCATGCCGTCCATCGCCAGTTCCCATCAGCGAGCGTGCTTCAGAGGACCAGTTTGTTACGCAGCTGCCCTGAGGATGAGAGCAGAGATGGCTCTCGTAACGTTGGCACAGGATATGGCGTTTTCGCCATTCGGCCACCTGACGCGGCTTGTAGCCTGTGAGTCTTTCATTGGCATTCAGATCTGTTTTGCGATATTCTCTAAGAGTTTTCTGTATTTATTCAATTGTCACGTGGACACCGGAGTAGTGCGTGCGCCTTAATTTTTATAGTATTTCTAATAGAAATAAATTATTATTTGAATGCAACTAATACGAAAGGCCGGAATGTGAGAAATTATATTCGGGTCCCTCTTTAGAAATTTGTGTAAGCAATGAAGTCGCAGTATCATGAATTAATAAAAGTATAATGACATAATTGCAATTACCAGTATTCTTCACGGCTGCTATCAGTGCCATCTGAACTGGTCTCGTCGTTATCAGCATCCCAAAGTATGGCTCTGGTGTTTTCAAAATGCCACCAGACTTTGTGTAACACTAATTTGTAATCTTACACAGAAATTGTTTCATTTTTAAAAAAGAATCTGCAATGAATTAATAAAATCTAAAGCCAACTTTAAATAAAAATTTTCATTCTTATTTAAAAATGAAAGATGATATAAGCCGACATTTTTGTGACGCGACAAACTGCTTTAACTAGGAAATGCTCGATTACGTTCCGTCTCTTATTGATATTTAATCTGTGGTGTGATACTTGTGTTTGCGCTTTCTAGCTACACGAAGATCGTGGTGAAAGGGATGACTAAGGCAGAAATGATTTTGAAAGTTGTGATGGCTCCGACAGATCCAGCAAAGGCATTTGCTGATCAGTTCGCGAAACTCTTGCCCGAGGCAGACCCGTCAGAGTTCCAGAAAGTACTCGATATGAAGGTAGGTCGCCCGTATCAGCTGACAGTATCGCGCGAGAACGCTCGCACGTCGTATAGACAGTTGTCTGCTAAACTGCGGTAAGATTTGGCGAGGCGCTGCTAAATGGTGGCTGCCATAGAAGAACAGACTTTTTCTTAACGTATGGCACGCGTACCACTGGTGGTACTCGAGCCAATGTCGAGTGGTACGCGAAGTAAGTAAGAAAATCAAAAGGTGATACTAACGTAAATAAGTTTTCCCTGAACGCATTAAATTAGAGTAAGTGGTACGCCAGCGAAAAAGGGCGAGAACCCCTGATCTAGTTGATATACTTTGTATTTCTTATTTGAGCGTCATCGACGACTTTTATACGGAGGACATTTTATTTTTTTTTGGCGTTAAACAGGGTCTGAGACGGAGTGATCAGAGCTATCTAGTGGACCTCTTCCGGTTGCAGCTTCGTACTCCTTCTGAAACCAATTCTGGTGGCACGACTACAGGAGGCCTAGCCCCGTTTAATGCTTCTTTAAGTAGTCCAGAGCACGAGTCAAGTCGCATCAAGAAACTGGAGAAGTTGATCAAGAAACGACTTTAAAGTTCCTCAGACGTAATGAAGCTGTTGGTTCAAAAAGGTAGGTAGAACCAGGCGTCTACAGTGTGTCCACAAAGTCCCTTCGGGGTTTTGAAAAATTGTGATGCGCAAACAAATTGAGCTAGCCACACGCGGTTTGCGGCAGATTACAGCGAAACTCTGGAAGATGGTGCTCCACCTCATTGGGGTCTGCAGGCACGCACATACCTAGACAGGACATTTCCAGGAAGATGGATCGGCAGAGACGGTCCAAAGCCTTGGCGTCCACGTTCACCAGACATAACACCACTGGATTTTTTCCTGTGGGGTTATGTCATGAGCAATGTGTTCCGAACACCAGTTAACGGACTTGATGACCTGAAGACCCGTATCAGGAATGCGATCCCGGCTATTCCAGCGGACATGCTCCACAGAACATGGCAAGAGCTCGAATATCGTCTGGACGTTCTCCGTGCTACCAAGGGAGCCCACATCGAGGTCTACTGACGTCAGTAGAAAACTTCCAGAGTTTCACTGTAATCTGCTGCAAACCGCATGTGGCTAGCTCCATTTGTTTTCGCGCCACAGTT